ATGCACCTGCACACGTGTGTATTGCATGCACACATACATAAACACATGCAGACTTTTTTAATTTAAAGCTTCTGAGCCTGAAACAGCTCTTGGTTAGTTTAATGTCACCGTCTGTTACTTCTCATCAGCAAAACGTCTTTTTAGGTGTAAGAAGCTGCACCCTTGAGAGGCCTTAGCTGAAGACTTGGGAGAGAGAATAGTTTAGGAACTCTGAGAGATACCTAGCCACTAGCTGAGTGGGTGGAACTAGTTTTACCAAAACCAACCAAACAAATAAGCAAAACAAAACAAACCACAACCTACCCCTAGGAGCTAAAGGTCACTGGGCAGAGCTTCTGGGAGGGGTGATTGATTGGCTACCATTGTGTGATGTCACTAGAGGCCCTAGGGTGAGGCTCCTTCCTTAGAGGTGGCTGTGGGGTCCTAGGCACGCGCCAGGATTCACCTAGCTATTACCCTCTGTAGAGAGCGTGTTTTGCCTTTGGCAGTCTCTCAGCACCCCCACCCCACCCCCCAGGGCCCCGGCTTGCATTCTCACTGTGTCCTCTGCCCTTCTCTTCCGCCCTGTCCTGCTTCTGATGAGCCAAGGAACCGCTGAGCTCAGCTCTTCCCGTAGCCCTGAGCTCCGGCTGGCTGCCTTTGTCCCACCTCACCCTCCCGCCGCCTTTAAGTCTCTCTGCTGCTGCTCAGCGCTGCGGGGGTGGGGACAGCCGCCCACATCACGCCAGCCACTGCTCGTTTGTGAGCGGAGGAAGCGCAGCGACCTCAGCCACGGTGCCAGATCCTGCCTCTGAAAAGCGCTGGCTGCGCTGCCCTGCCTGCCGTTTGCCAAATGGCAAATAGACCGGCTCTGTTCTGCGAGATTCCGGGGGTGTAGAGGGAGGGCCCTAGGTCTTCCCTCCCTACAGTGTGGAGAGAAAGGATAGAGAGACGGTCTGAACTGAGATTCACACTGTCCCTGGACAGAACTGTTAGAAAATCTTTAGGCTGGAAGCCTTTATTGATAGTAATAGGCAACTGACGGGCAGGCAATAGTGTGGCAATGTGGTTGTTTTAAATGTTGCATTTTTCCACTCCCAGATTTTCTATTTTAGGATATATTCTAATCATATAGTGATGGGCTTCAATATGCCTGTCTCGTGTACTTTGATCCTACACCCACCTTCCTTTTACAATGCTTCTGTTTCCTCCTGACTTCTGGTCTCCTCCCTTTTCCCTTCCAGTCTTATTTTTAAGTTCAAATACTACATATGCCAGAAAAACGTGATTAGGGTTTCCTGGGCCCAGCTTAGCAACTCTTGAATAGTTTGGTCCATTTCCTGCAAATAACATGATTCATTCTTGGCAATGGCAGAATAGTATTTCACTGTGTATATATACATTTTCTTCAGCTGTTGATCTACTGATGAGCACCTAGGCTGATGTCCATAACTTGACCGTTCTGAGAAGATCTGTTGTAAACATGGGTGTGCAGGCATCAGAAGGCATTTGATTCCTTCTGGGATGTACCTAGGAATGGCATATTGAGATATTAAGATTTTGATCAACTGAGTCTTGCGTTCTCCTGTTCTGTGCTTACGGTACATGCTCCATTTGCCTCTTTCCAGTCCTGGCCTGTTCTTAAAAAGCTAAAGCTATATAGATCTATCTAACCCAAGTGCAGGCTGAGGCTTGGGCCTTGAGAGCCAGGACAAAGTCTCCTGTCTCTGGCCTGTTGGGCTGAGGGTTCAAAATCTCCACCAGGCACCAGAGATGAGCTCAGCTGTCACAGGACAGTGTGCCCTCAAGGGCAGGGCAGCTCAGTTCCAGGATTGGCCCTGCCTGGACATGTGGCTACTTGATGTAGCTCTGACAGTGGCACTGGAGAGGAAGTCTCTAGCAATGTGGGGGTGGGGCTCTTAGGGAAAGGAAGCAGCCAGAGAGGTAGGAGAAGGCCTTTGGTCTCAGCCTGCGCAGAGACCAATCACCACCCTTGTCTCACTACCTGAGTGACCTAGCTGTGGTTCATGCTGGGAAGTGGAGATTAACACCCCAGCTCATCCACCATGAGGGATGTAATGGCCGGTGTTGGCTGGGCTCCTCCCCACACTTGGGGAGTGAGACCATCATTCTTTACTTGCTCTCATTTCTGTGCGACCGTCATTCTTTGCTTGCTCCCATAGCAGCTCATTATCCACAGACGGACACGCTCTCTCTCATCCACATCAGATGTTCTGAGAATTAGTGACTCACCCAGGCCCTATGTCCTCTGTCTCTCATTTTTCCCCGCCTGGGTGAACATCCTCACAAATTGCATCCTGGTGTTTCAAATAGGCTAGCAAAAGGACAGATGGCTTTCTGATACAGAATCCCATATCAGGATGGGTAGTATCCAAAAAAGAATCCCAGGGAGACCCCCATAACTCTTGGTACCTAAAGCCCTGGCTGACCCTCGGTAGCCCCCTTCCAGACTGCTCTCCTCCACTCTTTTTGTTTTTAATTTTTAAATGATTTATTTATTTATTCTTATTTTATATACACTAGTATTTTGTCTGCATGTCTGTCCATCTGTGTGAAGGTGTAGTTCAGACCCCCTGGAAGTAGAATTACAGACAGTTGTGAACTGCCATGTGGATGCTGGGAATTGAACCCAGGTCCTCTCCAGCCCCCTCCACTTTCTTCTTTGACGCCCCTTAGAAGCTCTGGGGACTGGCTACTGAAGACTTTGGAAGGGCTCTGACAGCAGGCCTGCTCCTTCTGTCTCCAGGGATGTTGATTCAATCTTCTCCAATCTCGGGCATTGCCATCTGCCTGCAGTAATTAAATGGTATTTGAACTGGATCCAGAAATCCCATCACAGGCTGCCACGTGGTGGGGGTGTCCTTGGAAGCTCGTGCTTGTCTACATAGTTGGAGGACCCTCCCAGGCTGCTGCCATGTACCCTCAGTTCACCAGAGAGCACCCATGTGCTCTGGAAGGAAACATCCAGTCTGAGGCCCCACAGGCCCAAGGCAGAGCCAAAGCTCTGATTTCTATGCTATGCCATGCCTCACTCTCTGCAGCTGCCAGTGCTTTCCCGGAGAGTACGAGGTTCTCCCTCCACTCTCTGAGCCTGGTCCCTAGAAGCAGTGTGCCATGGAGGGGTGGTGCGTTCAGCCTGCCTGGGCTTGGAATGGCTCCTCACTGTCTGTGTCTCTGAGTAACACCATCCCAGTTTCCTTATCTGTCAATGGGACACTAGTGAAGACCTCCTGAGGTGGTTGTGAGGTCAAGAGTTAAGATTCGTCAGTTCACAGGCATTGCCGGCCATGCTGTAAGTTCTGTGTGTGTCAGCTGAAGTGGTTAGGGTGAAGAAGTCACGGTAGGAGACTACTGACCCTGAGCTGTGGGGTGGGGAGTGGTGGAGATGGGGAGGTGGGATGGGGGATGGGGAGAAGTTTCTAGTCTGGAAGTCCAGAGAGAATGAATAAGAATCAGTTTTGCTCTTTCTGTCGGGAACAGTTCAGGTGAACAGTGAGAGACTAGGAAGCTGTGTTCCCATCTTATATGGCTTTCAGCAGCTATGTAAGGGTGAGGACTTTGGGCTTCCACTTCTTTCTGGAGGGAGCCACTCACTAAAGTGACTGCCTCCAAGAAAACATTCCCAAAGAAAGCCGAACTCCCTCATCTGGGTAGAGACTGAGTACCCACCCTACCTCCCCCCCACACTCCCCACACCTGTCCCTCCCCAGTCCACTCATTCACAGCAGAGTTGTGGCAACAGGCTTGGGAGCTCCTCACCCAGAGGAGAGCTCTGAGTGGGTCTTAGAGTCAGGGGGGAGTTGAGGCAACCGGGACAAGGACATGATGGTGATTGGAGGTGCCGGGCTCTGCAGCTAGGCCCCTCTAGGCCTTCTGTGGGTGCTGGCCTGGTCAGTCTTGTTCCTTTCTTCTCTTGATAAATGTTGGCTTAGGCAGGGGGGGCCTGACAAGCAGTTCATTGTAAGTGCACAGCCTATTGGGCCGCTCGTGTGAGCCCATGGCAGTAGAGCCTATCCCCAGTCTTGCTTTAGGATATCTGAAGGGTACTTTCTGCCAGTCCTTGCACACGCATGCTTACTGACTCATGCTCGGTTGCCATGGGGACCTCATCATGGTGATGCAGCTTAGAAAAAGGAGTGAGAGGTGGCTGGGTGGGGACAGTTTTGCCCATGGCTGGCTCCCCACTCTGTACCGAAGTCACTTCTCCCTCAATGTAGGGGTTCCTTCTCTGAGCCAGGATCTGGGATGTGAGTCAACCCCCTCAGTGTCCTCTCTCACTGCCTTGACAAGATACTTCCCACCTGACCTAGACTGCCCTGGTTGTGTTTGGTTTGGCTCATCAGCTCTTGGAAAGAACCAGAATTTGTGTCTGAGAGTGACAGCAGGCCCTGGCACCTGGGCTGCTGCACCGAAGATCCTTGCAGCCTCCACAGGCCTCAGCAGAGCTTTTGGCCTTCCCCCAAATTGACTCTGGTTCAGAGGATTGTGGTCCAGATCTGTGGGGAGCTACTTAGCCTGTTGTCTCCCCAACCTTGTCCCTAAGATTTATCTAGCTATCCTCTCCTGCAAGAGGGATACTGACTTCCAGGCCTCTGGGGGTAGGGGAGGAGGGCAGCGCCTTCACTCAGGGTTGACCCCTTCTTTCTCCATTGTGCAGCCTTGGGCTAATCTTTGGAATGTTCTTGGCCCCATCTAAACAATCAGGCAAACAGATACCTTGAAAGTTTACAGTGAAGAACACATGAATTAGTTTATAAAAAAAAAAAAAAAACAAAACACACCACACATTCAGGGTATCAAGCGTCCAGTCAACGTTAGCAACTACTGGTCTGCGTGCTACTCGTGTATTACTGATGCTGTTCCCTGGGGCTTCCTACCTTCCTTCCTTCCTACCATTCCGGGCTTGTAGGGGTAAACAGAAATATGGCCGGTAATTAAGGGGACAGCCCATCACCTCTACCCACGTGGACCTGACGTAGGGCTCTTTCCACCCTGGGCAGGATCCGGCCCCAGCTATCAAAGGAGAAGATTGAAGGCTGTCACATCTGTACCTCTGTCACCCCTGGGGAGCCCCAGGTCCTTCTGGGGAAGGACAAGGCCTTCACCTATGACTTTGTCTTTGACCTGGACACCTGGCAGGAGCAGATCTATTTGACCTGTGTGAACAAGCTCATTGAAGGCTGCTTCGAGGGCTATAATGCCACCGTACTGGCCTATGGACAGGTAAGCCATGCCTACCCCAACCAGGGAGTATTTCAACCTCAGTTTCTCTGCATCCTATGGGGGAGATACACCCCACCAGAGAGCAGTCACTCAAAACCCAGGTGTGCGGTTCTGTCCGGCATCTGAGTTACGGCTGCATGGATGGTTAGCAGAGGCAGGCTTTCCTCAGAGATTTCTGTAGGAGCATGGCTCTGGGATAGAAGAGGGTAACTGGGCTGGAGGGAATGAGTATGAAGTTTTAGCCCAAGCTTGCTGGCTCCCCAGAGGTTACTGGTTACAACCTGCACTATCTTTGTCAATACAGACAGGGGCCGGAAAGACATACACTATGGGTACTGGCTTCGACACAGTGACATCAGAAGAGGAGCAGGGCATCATCCCAAGAGCCATTGCACACCTCTTCAGGGGCATCGACGAACGCAAGCGGCGAGCACAGGAACAGGGCATGACTGGGCCTGAGTTCAAAGTCAGTGCCCAATTCCTGGAGGTACTATGGCCTTGGAGTGTATTCAGGAGGGAGCTATGTCGGAACCAAAGACCATGGAAGCTGGGCCTCTACCAGTGCAGATCAAAGAGCCCAGGGAACCCTGGAGATATCTACAGAGGCTGAATTCCCTGCTGCTGGGGTATCCAAGCAAGGGCTAGGGAAACACTTGGTGGGGATAGCTGGAGTGTTTCCTGTTTCAGATGGGGCCTGAGGAGTCAGACCCTCGCTGACTCTGGCCCTGACCTAGGGCAGGTCGCGCCTCCACCCTGAACTTCCTCTGCAAAGAGGTCTTGCCATCTCTCTTTCCTTAGGGGTTAGTGAGTCTGGCATGGAAGCCTGTACCTGGCACATGGTGGGGACCCTGCTTCTGCTTCTGACCTCTGGCCCTCACTACGTCCTTCCTCTGCCACCACGCATCTATCTCTATCTTTTAAACTGAGATGCAACCTGGCCTCTTAGTATAGAGAGTCCCTAGTGGGGGCTTTTCTTCATCTCTGGTCCTTCAGCTTTGGGAGGCATCACTCTGAACTGTGCAGCTGTGAGCTTTGGGGACTACATGAGGGCATCTCTGGGCTTTTTGACATTTGGGCAGTGCTGACAGCTCAGTAGTGCTATAAATAAATGCTCTATGCTAGAGATGGCCTTCTTGGGGAAAGGGTACAGGAAGGTGATCCATCTTATTTCTCCAAGGAAGCGGATCAGGGTCCTCTGAAACGTGTCTTTGGGCCGTTCTGGTTCTCAGCATCTAGTGTCCTCCACCGGGGAACGCTGCTCTGGTGTGTTTCATGGGTATGGAGCCACTCTGCTCTCTCACCTCCCGACCCTGATGCTTTTCCTGGATCTTGTTGTCCCTGAGAGGGATAAATGGGGCTGAGGCTTGTCCCAGTGTCTTTCGTGTGCACCCACTGCTGCTGCTTTCCCCGTAAGGGACCTGTATGTTAGTCCTGTGGATTACATCTGTGTATATATGCACATGTGTGTGTACATGTGTGGTTGTATACGTGTACGTGAGTATGCAAGTGTGCACAAGAGTGCTTGTGTGCATGTGTGCATGCATGTTTGTGTACATGGGTGTGTGTGTTTCTTGCTGCCTGTGTATCACTGAGCTTTTCTCTGTTCTTCCCTTTGCCATTCTGTTGCCATGGAGAACTGTGAAGAGCATGATGGTAATCCAGGCCAAAGGGTGAACCGCAAGGGGTTAACTGGTCACACAGACATCATGGCACTCTGTCTCCACCATCTCTTCCTTCTGTTTCCTCTTCCCCTTCCTGTGGAGTATTTTTGTCCCCTTAAGGCCATCAAAGCCTCGGATGTCTGAGGGCTGCAGTGCCCCTCTCTCTGACACCATAGGACCTTATTGGCTGCTGCTTTTTTTCCACTCTGCCCACCCTCCAGTATTTGACATCGAAGCCTTTCAGCACTTGAATTTCCACACAGTTCCAATCTTCTAATCACAGGAATCCCCTTGGCAAACACCATCTGAAATTGGCTGGCCACTCCTGGCCACCTGGCACAATGGTCTGGGCCACAGCACCCACTCTTGCTCCCTGAGCATCGAATCAGGCACACAGCCATTCTCCCTCCATCCAAAGATTCCATTCCTTCTACTTCAGGCCCCACAGTGCTCAGAGATTCAGAGTTCAGGGCACTGTCTCCCTGGTCTCTTCAAACTTTGCCTTCTTTTATCTGCAATCACAGCCACATGCCATCTCTGGCAGCCTGGCAATATGAGGAGATCCTCTCAATTCAGGCTCATGGCTTCCCCAACCCTTAACACTGAGGACCTGCATCCCGTGGGTTGCAGGTTGCAGGGGGTTGACCTTGTCCTCAGCCCCCCTTTGGAGCTGAAAGATGCTGGAAACTGTCTGTCAGGGGGTAGAGCCTCAGGATGGCACTAGGAACACCAGGGGTCAGCAAGTTAAATTTCTGAGGCTCGTTCCCACTTTAGCAGACTGAGATGCTGTATACATCTGAGGAAGCCGTTGGGCTCCGGGCTATGTACCGTATGAACCCGGCATGGTTTCTTCCCATCACAGCTCTACAATGAAGAGATCCTTGACCTGTTTGACAGCACCCGTGACCCTGACGCCCGCCACCGAAGGTCCAACATCAAGATCCATGAGGATGCCAATGGTGGCATCTATACCACAGGTGTCACTTCCCGCCTCATCAACTCCCAGGAGGAGGTGAGCATCTTACACACGGGCATCTTTAAAGGCCAGAGCCCCACAGCCCTGGGTCCTGAGGTCTTTCCTCACATCTGTTGCCAGCTGATCCAGTGCCTGAAGCAGGGAGCCCTGTCGCGCACCACAGCCAGTACCCAGATGAATGTTCAGAGCTCCAGATCGCACGCCATCTTCACCATCCACCTGTGCCAGATGCGTGTGTGTGCCCAGCCTGACCTGGTGAGGTGCTCTTGGGGGCCCAGGAGCTACATGCTCTAGGCATATACCAGGGATAGAATAACCAAACATGGATCTAGGCTAGAATTCCAGAAGTGGGGCTTGTCCTGATCATTCAATTTTCCTTTATTTCTCTTCAGCCTCTCACCCCATCTGTGTAATGGGGTAATGGTCATTGATGGTACGTGTAAGTTCAGCATTTGCTCTTAGGTGCTCTGCACACATACGGAATTGCTGCTGTGCACTACCCTCACCCTTGGGGATGGTGGTGATATGGGATGGAAGGCTAGCTCAGAAACAGGAGGAGGGGCATGGGTGAGCCAGGTGTCACCTTCTGCTGCAGGTGAATGAGACAGTGACTGGGCTTCCGGATGGAGCAGCCCCCACGGGCACTGAGTATGAGACACTCACTGCTAAGTTTCACTTTGTGGACTTGGCCGGCTCAGAGCGGTTGAAGCGGACAGGGGCGACCGGAGAACGGGCCAAGGAGGGCATCTCCATCAACTGTGGTCTGGTAGGCACACTGGAGGGTCACCAGCCCCAGGAGCCGAATGGTACAGGCTCAAGCAGGCTATGTGCTTCCATGGCTACCCAGTCCTTTTTGGGATTTTTCTAGCTACTGACTGGAGCGCCCAAGGTTTTTCTTCCTTCACCCTCAGGCCTCAGCCTCTCAGATCATTCTATAAACCCACCCTGGAGCTGCTGGAGCCTGGGGGCTGTTGGAGCTTGGGTGCTGCTGGTGTCAGAGGGTACCAATGGCTAGGGATTGTGCTCACTGCCTTCCTTGTATGACTTTTGAGCTCAGGCTCTTTCTCTCGCAGCTGGCCTTGGGCAATGTGATCAGCGCCTTGGGAGACCAGAGCAAGAGGGTCGTGCATGTGCCCTACAGGGACTCCAAGCTCACTCGGCTGCTCCAGGATTCTCTTGGAGGCAATAGGTATCTGATGACCAATGTCCAGGAAGGGTGGGGAAGTTCCCAGGTGGAGAATACTGACATGGGCTTAAGGCCTGAGTCCCAGAAAGGGGGGTCTTCTCAGCTTAGGCTGCAGACTCAGAGGCAGCAACCTTGGGGGCTCAGTGACTTGTGACTAGGTGAACTTGGTTTCATTATTTCACAGCAGTGAGAGACAACCCTAGAGGAAGCCACATGGCCCAATTCGGCAAGAAATGGGAATGCCAGGTCAACAGGAGCCTACACCATACTTATCTCCAAGCAGAGGATTCTGCAGTTAGGCCTCTCCCCTTGTTAACTTCGTTCTAGGGTTTTCCTCTCTTGCTATGGAAGATCTTAGCCAGGTGGTCCAGGGTCTGACATCCGAGGTTCTAGGTTATTTAACAAATCCTCTGCTGTGGAGCAATGCTTCTGGGTCTGGCTTTGTCCCTTGTCCTCACCCAGCCTGGTTGCGCTTTTAGCCAGACCATCATGATTGCCTGTGTGAGCCCCTCGGATCGAGACTTCATGGAGACGCTTAATACTCTCAAGTATGCCAATCGGGCCCGCAACATCAAAAACAAGGTTGTGGTGAACCAGGACAAGACCAGCCAGCAAATCAGCGCACTGCGAGCTGAGATTGCACGCCTGCAGATGGAACTGATGGAGTACAAAGCGGTGAGCACTTCCAGGCCCCCTCAGGCACTCTGAAGAGGAGCTGATGCCCTGCTCCATACTCTGCCCTAGAGCATCCAGAAACCAGGTCCCGAGCGGGCATCTCACCTTCCCAGCCCCCATCTATCCTCATGTTTCCTAGACATCAGTGTGTATCAGATGTGGTTCCTAGTACTGGGTTTTTGTTTTTTGTTTATTTGTTTGTTTGTTTGTTGTTTTGTTTTTTAAGACAGGGTTTCTCTGTGTAGCCTTGGCTATCTGTTCTGGACCAGACTGGCCTCGAACTCACAGAGATCCACCTGCCTCTGCCTCCCTGAGTACTGGGATCACAGGCGTGTGTGTCCAGCTCCTGGTATTAGGTTTTATGGCAAATCCAGTTCAGGCTTAGCTGTCTAGGCTTAGACTACAAAGGCTAAGAATTAGAACACCCTGGCTTTGTAGCATAGGTGTTTGGTTGAGGGAAGAGGTTTCCCAGGTACTGTTACCTCCACTGAATGTACTGTTAGAAGAGATGAGACCACTCCACTATGGTGGAGTCTTTGACAGTGGGGGGAGGGGCACAGTTCTACAGGGCAGAGGGGGGAGCCTACTTGCTTGGGTGGTGGTGGGGGGCTTTATGGAAGGTACTATTCTCGTGGCTTTTGAAAAACAAATGAGTTATCAGCGGGAGGCCAGTAGGCATTCTGGGTAGACAGTAAGCCATAGAAAATCTAACAGAAAGGAGAAAAAACAGGTGGTTTGAGGGGCATGTCTAATTCTGAATATCCAAGGCTGACGTCACCCTTAGTCTGCATCTGTCACACAGATAGATGGGATTCTACTTGGTTGCAGAAGAATGCAACTTATTTGACAACTTTTCTGAGCATCAAGAAGGAAGTCTCAACTTCTGTAGAAAAATTTGTCTCTACTAACAGCTGGCACTAAGTTGGCTGGAGGGAATAGCAATGCACAGTTTATTATAGGAAGAAATTTCATAGTACAAACACAAACAGTGTTCACAAGTAAACAGTCAAGAGCCACTGACCTTTGCAACTCAGGACACAGTTAGACTCAAAGCAAGGAAGGAACTGATGCAAATTTTGCACTGCTAAAATTTTACCCTCATAATAGTCTCTCTTCTTTGACTAAGCAAAGATTATAGTAACATCTGTGGGCAAAAATAGAGGGGATTTAAGAGATGAAATTCGTTAGTTTGCAACATTTAACTTTTTGTTTATACAATAGACAACTCTGTAAGTTCAGTATCTTGCTGACAGTGCACACAGTTACTGTTTTAGCTTTAAGGTAGACAGTTAAACATGAGAGAGAAGAGATATCAAAAGAGTGTCCACCTCTTTAGACTGTCTGTGACTTTTCCCTACTGCAGTCCCCACCACTTCCTGTCTTACACCGAGACTGACTCACCCATGTATGTCAATTGCCTGGACCAAGTTAGGGTTGTGTCACTTGTTTAGCATTCCAGGATAATGAAAAGTGATTGATAGCAAGATAAGTCAAGAATTTGGACTTTTTTGTTGTCAGAGAGAGAACTGTTTTTTGTTTTTGTTTTTGTTTTTTTGTTTGTTTTTGTTTTTGTTTTTTATACAGCATTCTGCCTGCATGTGAGCCAGCAGGCCAGAAGAGGGCACCAGATCTCACTATAGATGGTTATAAGCCACCATGCAGCCAATGCTCTTAACAACTCTGAACCATCACTTCACCTATTTGTTTTGTTTTGAAGAGGAGACTTATTAGGTAGTCCAGGTTGGCCTGGAGCACATTTTGCCCAGGCTGGCCTTGAATTTGTGAACCTTGTGCCTCAAACTTCCAGGCACTGACATTATAAGCAGTGATCCCCATATCTAGCGCCGTGTAAGGTTTTTGAGACTCGGGAGACATGAGCTCGGTTAGGAAGCGTGGAGATAGGGACCAGAAGTGCCACCCTGCCCTGGGGAAGGCTGAGGGCAGGGGGCAGAGGGGTGTCACTGTACCCCTCCTATGAGATTTAGCATCTGACTGCTCCCCGCCTGTCTTCCTTTCCAGGGCAAGCGGGTTATCGGGGAGGACGGTGCAGAGGGCTACAGTGACCTGTTTCGGGAGAATGCCATGCTACAGAAGGAGAACGGGGCACTGCGGCTCCGAGTGAAGGCCATGCAGGAGGCCATTGATGCCATCAACAACCGGGTCACACAGCTCATGAGCCAGGAGGCCAACCTGCTTCTGGCCAAGGCTGGTAAGTTGGGGCCCAGCAGACTAGCCTGGAGCAACAGATTGTCGCCTGCCGTTGGTATCAGGCAGGTGGTAGCAGCAGCCAATGCACGGATTAGTTCACATATGCGTTTCCCCAACAATTTATCGTGACGCATAAATAGCTTTGTTAAACATGTAAAAGACACATGGTACACTGAGCAAAGGATGAAAATCCCCTCAGCAGGCTTTCCACTCACGTCCTCTCTGCTTCCAGAGGATCCTTCCTGAGCAGCTGAGCGCATGTGTCCCCACCCTTTCTCAGTACAGTTGTTCTGAGCATAAGTGCATTTGAGTATTTTCTCTTTTTTTTATTTTTCAAGACAGGGTTTCTCTGTGTAGCTTTGGCTGTCCTGGACTTTGTAGATCAGGATGGCTTTGAACTCATAGCAATCCGCCTGCCAGTGCCTCCCTGAGTACTGGGACTAAAGGCATGTGACACCATGCCCAGCTCAGGCATTTCAATATATCATGTGTACGTGGTTGAGTATGCATTGCATTTTCTGTATATGAGATCATACTTCATATTTTATGACTTCCTTTTTTCATTTAGCAGCATGTCCAATAAATCTCCATATTCAAATATTCAAAGCCACTTAATTTTTAAACAACTACACGCTGCTCCATATGTGATGTTGAATAATTTATTCAACAGCCTCTATTGATGGGTGTTTAGATTGTTTCCAATTTCATGCCATTACCTAACAGTGCTTGGATACAACTATGATCATGTTCAAGTATTTCCTTCACATACATTCCCGTATGGGAAAGCCTGTGTGAGCTACCACGCTAGAGGCACGTGCAAGTCCACCAGTCTTAGAGCCAAAGTCCCAGTCCTTGCTGTTGTCACCGGTTTGTTTTGTTTTGTTTTTTTAACCTGTCTGTCTTCTCCGTCCAGGTGATGGCAATGAGGCCATTGGTACTCTGCTCCAGAACTACATCCGGGAGATTGAGGAGCTTCGGTGAGTAAGCCTGTGCAATATAAGCAGGCTGGGTGGCCTTGGTCATGCCAACTTTATGTGGCTCACCTGACCCCACCCACTCACTTTGTCCACACAGAACAAAGCTCCTGGAGAGTGAGGCCATGAATGAGTCCCTCCGCAGAAGCCTCTCACGGGCTTCAGCTCGGAATCCCTATTCCCTGGGAGCATCTCCAGTAGGTCCAGCCTTTGGTGGCAGCCCGGCCACCTCCATGGAAGATGCTTCTGAAGTGATTCGAAGGGCCAAGCAAGACCTGGAACGCCTGAAAAAGAAAGAGGTCAGGCAGCGAAGGAAGAGGTGAGTGGAATGTCACCACCCCCCAACCCCCACAGCAAGAACATTCAAAGGTGGAACCCCCCACACACACACATACCATCTAAGAAGACTGCTCCCTACCCCTGTACAGAGAGGACCACTCCTACACACCCTCACCCCATTCCCAGGGCCATCACCAGTAATGCTTGGGAATTTCTGAAGCATTTACTCAATTTGGAGGAGAGATACCACCCCAGCCTTCTCTTGTGAGCTTTTCCACTAAGGCTAATTCCAGGAGATTAGAACAGGGGTGTGTCTGGGGAGTGTGTGGATGCTGGAGAAGGAGAGCTGGTTCTCTACAGAACAGGAGCCTAGTCCTATCACCACCAGCAGCACCCTGTGGTGTTAACCTCTAATCTGGCTTCATTTTCATTCCACAAGCAGCCCAGAGAAAGAAGCCTTCAAAAAGAGGGCAAAGCTCCAGCAGGAAAACAGTGAGGAGACTGATGAAAATGAGGCTGAGGAGGTGAGGGCTACCCTGGTCTTCCTATCTTGGGCTCACCAGCATGTCCATATTGGGGTAGAGACTTCATCAGTGTTGGGAGACAGGGGGAGTTTGCTTTCAGTTGATCCTTGAGTTTCTTGATAATGCTGACTTGTTGCCATGGTGATCTCCATCCCTTGGGCCGTTGTCTCATTTCAAATGGAAGATATTAGCTAGTCTGAGCATCTTCCATAAGGGCTGTGCCAAGGCAACTAGAAGCAGCTGGTCTTCCCAGAGGGGAGGGTATGGCTGGCCCCCGCCCCTGCTGACACACACTCCTGAGGTCTTGTGTCTGGCCCAGTCTCTGCTCGGGGCTCCCATCTTACCAGGCAGGTGCAGCCCTAATGGTACTTCCTGCCTAGGAGGAGGAAGAGCGAGATGAGAGTGGCTGTGAGGAGGAGGAAGGGCGTGAGGATGAGGATGAAGACTCGGGCAGTGAAGAGAGCCTGGTAGACTCAGACTCCGACCCTGAAGGAAAGGGTATGTGGGCTGGGGCTGGGGAGACGAGTTGCTTGTGGCCAGTCCCCATGGTGGGACTGTCAATCAGAACTGGGCTCCCGAGAGGCAATTTAGATAGATCTGGGTGAGGTCAGGCCTGAGAGAGTACTCAGACTGCCTGTCTAGACGGGGCTCAGACTCCTACAGGAGAAGCCAACAAAAACAAGAGTAATGACAAATGGTGGGAAGCACTTCGCTCTCCTTATATGCCCACCACTGTGCTTAGCTTGACCCTTCACAAGGTCCCTGAATCCAGAGCTTTGCAAAGGTATTAGGCTCCCCCGAATCACCACTGAACGTGTTCAGAGAGGTTCCTGACACACGTTGGTGGACTCAGAGACGGGTGTTGAATGACTTCGGCCCTCTCCGTTGTCTGGAGATAGCTGTCCTTCAGCTCTGCCCTCTTGCCATCTCTCCCCCACAGTCCTACAAGGTACTCTCCTCCACCCAAGCAGGGTCCCATGTCATCAATCATGGTGACATAGGGCTATGGACCCATCGGGTGCGAAGGATGTTACTCCCTGCAAGCGCCTGTGCATTTCTGAGGCTGCTCATTAAATGCACTGCGTCCCTGCCTGGCAGCACTCTGCCTACCTTCCTGGTCACTGATTGGTCACTGCTGACCAAAGGATGCCCCACCCCCCCCCCACCCCGACCCCGAACCCCGAACCCGCAAGTCTGCTCCCTTGCCCCTGCACCTGGCATGGGGCTGAGTGTGGCTCTCTCTGGCCCGCAGAAGTGAACTTCCAGGCAGACCTGGCGGACTTGACATGCGAGATTGAGATCAAGCAAAAACTGATTGACGAGCTGGAGAACAGCCAGCGGCGGCTGCAGACCCTCAAGCACCAGTACGAGGAGAAGCTCATTCTGCTGCAGAACAAGATCCGAGACACGCAGCTGGAGCGCGACCGCGTGCTGCAGAACCTCAGTGAGGCTACCGCCATGCTTCTCTTTTCTGACCCCCTCCTCTGTCAAAAGATACCCACCATCGTTCTGATAATGCCTGGCTTCCTGCGCAGGGATCTTTGAGCAACCTGCTGTGACCCTTCACCCATAGTTAAAATTTTCTTGTGTCTAATCCAGTTTCTCTGCTACTTTTGCTTGCAAATTATATTTGGGGGGGGGGTGTGCGCGTGTGCGTGCGTGTGTATATGTGTCTGAGTGCGTGTCTGTGTGCATGTGGGTGCTTGCACCCACACACACTTGCTCTCTCTTGAACTCATTACGTGGCACACATGTAGAGGTCAGAGGACAACTTACAGAAGAATTCTGTTCTCTCCTTCCACCATCTGTGTCTCAGGGATTGAACCTTGATCATCAGGGTTGGCAGCAAGTGCCTTTATCTGCTGAGCCATCGCCACAGCTCCCCCACCTTTTATTTGAGACATAGTCTTGCTGTGTAGCCCAGGCTGGCCTCAAACTCATGCCAATGTCCCTAATGGTAGAACCACAAACAGGATGCCTAGCTCTCTATTTTTTATCTTATATATATTAAAGATACATATTTTACATACATTATATATTAATATATATTTTTATCTTATATATTTTAAAATACATATTCTCTTATCCTTCATCTTCCTAGGCATGTGACTAAGATACCTCCCAACCCCCTCTTCCCCCTCCCCCACAGCCTACTCAGTCGGGGATTCATCTCCTCAGCCACTTACTCAGCAAATGTTAGCTGGCTGTGTTTTATAGAGAAGGTGTTATTCCACGGACTAGAATTGTTTTCGTATGTAAAATCCCTCTCTGGTAGGGGTTGACAGCATAAAGGAAGCAGAATTGGTGTTTCTAAGTGTTTTGGTTTTTTAATATGGCAAGGAAGAGGACAGGGAGCTCAGGGTTGGGGCAGGCTGGGGAGGGCATGAAAGGCTATATAGAGAAGGTGACCTTGGAGTAAGGCCTGAAAAAGGTGGTACATCACAAGAGCAGAACTAGCAATGGGAAGAACATTCCGGACAGAGGGAACAGAAGCTGTTATGGCCCCGAGGCAGCCATGTGCCTGGCATGTTGATGGAACGATGGTCTAGACTAGCCAGAGAATAGGCTGTGTCTGTCATTGTAATATGTTGCCTTGACTCTGGGAGCTGAGAGGGTAAGGAGTTTTGGGAAAGTCAGGGTGACACAGACACTAGAAAGCATTTTTAAAACATTTTTGCTATTGTATAGGAAGATGAAAGTGGAAGCTAGACCATTTAGCAGGCAGACGGGTCAGGTGATAAGATGCTGCCAGGGTCAGGTACTCAGACTTGTTGAGTGGGCAGGAGGGCTAAGGGATCCAGGAGCCATGTCTCAGGTTGCAAGCCTTTAGACAGGAGGTGTTGAGGTTTCCTGAGATGGAGTGAGAGGTAGAAGTCAGGTTGGTCTTGGACCTGCTCAGTGGGGATGTCTGTCTGCAGTTCAGGTGGGAAGTGTCTGTGTGAGGAGCCAGCTTATTCCTTCCGCAGCAGTCACATCACACCAGCTCTTCTTGTGAACCTTCCAATTCCTGCTGGCACCATGTTTTCAGGGACAGAAGTCTCAGTCTGAAAACACTACTGAATGATCAAATGTCAGAGCAGGAAAGGGCTTAGGATAGGAAGCTGCTGAACCCACATTCTTTGTTCAAATGAAGAAGAAGGCTCAGGGAGGGGTCAGCTGTAAAATCAGAGCTCAGCACCTATCTCCCCGTTGAGCCCACATTTAGTGGGAGCTATGGAACCCATGCCTCTGACAGTGCTTTTCATCTTTCTCAGGCACCATGGAGTGCTACACAGAGGAGAAGGCCAACAAGATAAAGGCAGATTATGAGAAGAGGCTGCGGGAGATGAACCGGGACCTGCAGAAGCTACAGGCTGCTCAAAAGGAGCATGCCAGGCTACTCAAGAACCAGTCCCGCTATGAAAGGGAGCTGAAGAAGCTACAGGCAGAGGTAGCAGAGATGAAGAAGGCCAAGGTAGGCAGGGGATATGAGGAGGGGGCTTAGGGTCCTATGCTGTGTCTTAGAATCCATATCCCACGTTAAATATCATCGCTGCTGTCAAGTGTCACTCTTCCACTGAACACACAGAGTCATCCAATTCAGTTCTGCCCCAACCCATGCACACTTAGTAACCTCATCCCAGTATTGGGTTCATTGCAGGCACCCTGCTCAATGCTGCCCCTTGTGTTGGGCATCTGTACTGTACAAGGAAGCCTTGAAGCCTATTTGATACAACCCTTGCCTCTAATAATAATAATTGGTCTGCTCTTAGTTAGGCATATTATGTGCTCAGTTATACCCCATCCTTAGGAAAAGTGAAAGCCATTCCCATTGTGTTCCTGGAGATTTGAGGCTCAGGGAAGGTAATTCCTGCTACCAGGATGTAGCTGGAATACCAATTCTGCTGCTGATGTTCCAAGCTGGTGTGTGTTCTTAGTGGCTCTGGGCTCCCTTTTCCACTTTGCCACAGCTCACAGGGCACAGACTCTAGGATCTGCCCTCATGATGTTGGTGGCTCAGGTCTTAAACTTCTGGCATGTGGTTTCAGGAGTGGTTTTAGCTCCTGCGGTTCTGAGGTCCGCAGATCCTTGCTCTGTGTATGTCCTTCATCACCCTCAGACCTTCATCCCATGGTTCTTAGCTTCTGGTGTCTCCCAGCTCTCCGGCACTCCAGCTAAGCTCTGGGGCTGGATGCCTTAACAAAGACTGGCAAAGGTGGTAGCCCCAACAAGCTGAGTCCCTTGGGAATGGAATAGAAGCCATTACTAACTGTATCTTTAGTGCTGTCCTGACTGATGCTGAATATTGAACACAGGAAAGAGGCAGTTATTGATCTTAAAGGAAATAGAACTGTACCTGGGCAGGCGCTGTCCCCAAGCAGGTCCGGTGCCTCCATCCGCTGATGAAGAAGTTCCCTACTAGCTGTGGTCAGTTCAGCATGGCCGCAAAGAGCCCCATGTTTACTTTCTACTTCAGTACCTCTACCCAGTGGTACCTCTACACGATGCCATTGACAGTAAAAAGGACTTGGGATTTAAACACCCAGAGTCCCCTGGGCCCATGGAACCCTTTGGTAATGCAGAGAGGGTCCAGTGAGTTTTATCCTCAGGCTGTCTGTAGTCCACTGTGACCTGGGCCTTCTACAGGTACTGCTGAGGCAACATTGACATGCTTGTCTTTGTTTGTGTCCCATTGCCCATCTGTCCCTGTCTCTCCCTAACCCCCATCCCCAGCTTCTTCCTGGTGCCTCTTCAGGGTAGTTCTGACCTCTCCTTAGCCTGCTCCCATCTTGAGTGAGAATGACCCTAGAAAGCCTCACAAGAGAACATTCTCATGGGGTTCTGAAACTTGGGGAAAAAAAAAAAAAAGAGAAAAAAACCAAAAAGAGCCAAATGCACAAGACATGGTACAAAAGGAGAAGAATCCACATCTATGCATGGTTCTTATTCTTAGACTCTGAGGCTCTTCATCTGGAAGCCAGCTCTGTCCACTTGACAACACTTTTGTGATACCAGGGTTCACAAGAAAAGAAGAGCCTCGGTTTATCCCAGGGGTGCCCTAGCATGGTCCCAATTCTTCACTAGAAGGGTAGAAAGGGGATCAGCTGCTGGGTGCAGTGATATATGTCTGAAATCCCAGCACTCTTGTAGGCAGGGGCAGGCTGGATCTCTGTGAGTCTGAGGCCAGCCTGGTCTACAAAGCAAGCCCAGGACAGCCAGGGCTACACAGAGAAACCCTGTCTCAAAACAAAACAAAATAAAAACCAAACAACAAAAGAAGATCAGCCAAAGACTGTAAGCAGAGTCTATGTCTTTGGGATCTTAACTGGGTGAGGCCTCGTGGCAGGAGGGCATAGTGACTTGTGTCTCAGAACTGCAGAACAATGCTGCCTCAGTACTGAGGCCTGTTTCAGCGCTGTCCTGTGCCCGGAATGACGGATGCAGCCACACACACAGGTTATGCAGATGATCTGGAGTTGGGAGGTGAAATGACCCAGGCTCCCAAGTCTAGACATTCCTAGCTCTGTGACTGTTAGTCATGTTATCTCAAAGGCTCGTTTCTTTCATTATAGAACAGGAGAGCTGCCTTTCTCATATGAGTGTCCAAGGACGGGGCCTGCCGTGTAGCCAGCTCTCATTATACCGCTATGACTGTGAGACTGGCCCTGGAATCTCAGCTGTGCTGACGATGGTGGCTTTTAGTAGGGCTGGGATAGACTTCAAGCCAGTGCTGTCTAGAAGGCTACCTCCCTGACCAGCGTCCTCACAACCAGCTGCTGACTGAGGCACTGGGCCACCGCTGCCCAGCCCTGCCTCACCTCCATTGCCTCTGCTCTCCTAGGTAGCACTCATGAAGCAGATGCGTGAGGAACAGCAGCGGCGACGACTGGTGGAGACCAAGAGGAACCGGGAGATTGCTCAGCTCAAGAAGGAGCAACGGAGGCAGGAGGTGAGAGCCCCCCGCCCCGAGCTTTCCACCACTCCTCCTGCCAATCACCCACCCCCTCCCAGTTCCTACCGTTCCAATTAACAGCAGCCATGCTTAGAGCACAGTATACCCCATCAGAAAGGCAGAGCCACTGTTGGCTTCTGAACCAGCCCCTCCATGTCTAAAGAAATAACTTGAATCCACAGAAGGGCATGAATCTGCCCAGGGTCACCAGCAAAATCAGACACATGGAGCTTCAGGCCTAGAAGAAATAGCTAGGAGGACTGGGCATATAGTCCCGATTTACATTAATGGTAGAAGAGAAGACCGAGAGAATTGTCCATGTGGGCAGGACATGGCCTCCCCTGGTAGAAGAGATACCATTTTATCTACTATTTGACATGTGAGACTCACTCCACACAAGAAAACCTTGAGCTTTTGGCTACAGAGCTGCCCAGCCTGTTCCCTGACTGGACAGAAAGCAGTGGTGCATGCCTTTACTCCCGGCAAGAGGCATTTCTGAGTTTGAGGCCAGCCTGGTACAGACTGAGTTCCAGGACAGGCAGAGCTATACAAAAAAAAAAACCCTGTCTTGAATCCCCACTCCCCCAAAAGACTGCTGTAGTGGCTGAATGTGGCCCAACCCAACCCTTTTCTTTTAGTTTCAGATACGGGCCCTGGAGTCTCAGAAGCGCCAGCAAGAAATGGTCCTGAGGAGGAAAACTCAGGAGGTGAGTGCGCTCAGCAGGCAGGCTGCATGTACAGAGCTAGCCCTGGCTCTCAGCAGGCAGGCTGGATGTATAGGGCTAGCCCTGGCTCCCAAGTAGGAGCCTGAATCTCCTTTCACTCAGTGAGTAGCACAGCGTTGCGAGTTTGTAGCAGCCTGTGAGAAATGAGTTCTCACCCACTGAGCCGACCCTAGAAGGCAGAATAATAATCCTGTCTTCGGTGCCCAGCTGGTCATTTAAAAAGAAAGAGCAAAAAGGGCTAGAGAGGTGACCCAAACAGTAAATTACTTCCCGCATAAGCATGAGGACCTGTGTTCGAACCCCCAGAGCCCACATTAAAAACTGGGTGCATGGTCGAGACAGATGGATCTCAGAGCTTGCTAGCCAGCCAGTCTGGCTCATCGGTGAGAACATAATGGGGAGAATAACAGGGCATGAGACTCAGGGTTCTCCTCTGGCCTCCACACACTTGGGAACACATGTACATGCATATCCAAATGCATATGTGCATACATACCCAAAAAATACAAGAGAGAGAAAGAGCATCTTATGTTTATTTTACACTGCAGACTTCTTAGCCCCAAGTTCAGGCCTGCACAGATCTGCCTCTGTTCTCCCCCGTACCTCAAGACAGGCTCTCCCTGACCCTCCGGGCTTCCTTGCTCACTAGGTTCCCCCTTCTTGTCCTCACTTTCCCCAGGTTTCTGCACTGAGACGCTTGGCAAAGCCCATGTCTGAGCGAGTGGCTGGGCGTGTAGGATCGAAGCCCCCCAGCCTGGATTCTGGGGCTGAGGTGTCTGCCAGTACTACCTCATCTGAGGCTGAATCGGGGGCGCGCTCTGTCTCCAGCATAGTGCGTCAGTGGAACCGGAAAGTCAACCACTTCCTGGGGGACCATCCTGCAGCCACTGTCAATGGCACCCGCCCAGCCAGGTGAGGAGTATGAGTGGTGCCGGTGGGCAGGACCAGAGTGAGAGCATGAACGTCGTCGAGGAAGGGCTCTGGTACCTGGGCTGTCTGTCTCAGGCTCTGTGTGGGGGCTCAGGAGAGCTGCGGAGGTTCAGAGCAGCCAGCCAAAGCCCCTTTGCCTCTGCCTCCCAGGAAGAAGTTCCAAAAGAAGGGAGCCAGCCAAAGCTTCAGTAAGGCTGCAAGACTCAAGTGGCAGTCCCTGGAGCGGAGGATCATCGACATTGTCATGCAGAGAATGACCATCGTCAACCTGGAAGCTGATATGGAGCGTCTCATAAAGGTGGCACCTGCCTCCCCATCTCTCCCACCCCACTCTCCACATGTCTGGTCACTTCCCACTTCTCTGGCTCCTCACTCTTTTCCCTGTCTCCAACCCTCTGCTCCTTATGCCTGTTCTGACCTCTGGACGATCCTAGACAGGCGGGTGGTTTGGTATAGGAGCTGCAGGCACGGCTTGCCCATGCCTGAGATGCCTCCTCTATCACTGTCTCCATCCCCACCATCCCCAGAAAAGGGAGGAGCTCTTCCTCCTACAGGAGGCGCTGCGGAGGAAGCGGGAGCGCCTGCAGGCGGAGAGCCCTGAGGAGGAGAAGGGACTACAGGAGCTGGCTGAGGAGATCGAGGTGTTGGCAGCCAACATTGACTACATCAACGACAGCATCACGGACTGCCAAGCCACCATCGTGCAGCTGGAGGAAACCAAGGTGCCCACAGGACCCAGCCTGGCAGAGTGGGGTGCTAGCAGTGAGTGGGCTTGGGCAGCCCTGTGTGATGGGTTTCTGCTCTTTTGCTCTCGTAAAGGAGGAGCTGGACTCAACAGACACATCGGTGGTCATTAGCTCCTGCTCCCTGGCTGAAGCCCGCCTACTGCTAGACAACTTCCTCAAGGCGTCCATTGACAAGGTGAGCTGGCTATTGACAAAGCTTCCCTGGCAACAAGGCATGCATCACACACCCTAGGGGGGAAACCCCCACGGGTTTGGCTCCTTCCTACCTGCGTCATTCACAGGCTGGGACAAGCTGCAAGCCTCAGGTTCCATGGCTATAAAATGGGAACCTGGACGATACAGAGCTTGTAGCTGGTTGTTCAGAGTGCTACACGTAAGGGGCTTGGCATACTACAGGGCTTCAATTAAAGGTGACCTGGCCCAGGCCCATCCACAGCAGGACTAGGCTTGGGTCTGTTGGAGGCAGAGGGAGAAGTGTGTGTACATTAGGGATTGGAGAAGAGGAAACAAAAATTACATTCCACCTCCACCCCCCATCCCATCCTTGCCTACCAGAATACCAGGAGTCTTTGGGTCCCTGTCCTTAATCAATGGCCAGAGTATATGTGCTCTTCTGTCCTGGGGCCTGAGTCTTAGGGGCAGACACAAGCCAGTGTATATATAGTTAGCTGGAAAAAGGTTGGGAGGCCACCGGCCAGACTCTTAGCCAGACTCCCTATGGCTCCTCAGTGTTGCTTTGTGTCTTAGGGGACTGTATTAGTATGCCAGGGTTGCCATGACAAAAATGTCCCAGACTGGGCAGCTGGTATAACGGGGATTTACAAAGGCTAAGATCCAGGTGTCAGCAGTGTAGTTTTTTCTGAAGCCTCTCTCCATGGCCATTGTTTCCTCCCATGTCTTCATTATTCTTTCCTCTGTGTAGCTTGCCATGATCTAGTATTATAAGGACACCAGTCATACTGTATTAGGGACCACCCTATGACTTCCTATCACCCTGGTTCCCACTCCAACGGACCTGTCTCCAAGTAGACCACATTTTGAGATAATATGGGCTGGGAGTTCTGTATGTGAGTGAGGGGTGGCAAGTCCGCCATAGCAGGGTATGTGCTAGGTCACTGATATGTGTAGAGGGGTCTAGGAGCTACAGCATCAACCACAGGCCAGGAAGAGTAAGCCCGAACCTTGTTCTTTGCCTCCAGGGACTACAGGTAGCACAGAAGGAAGCCCAGATCCGGCTGCTGGAAGGTCGCCTGAGACAAACAGACATGACTGGCTCTTCCCAGAACCACTTGCTCCTAGATGCTTTGCGTGAGAAGGCCGAGGCACACCCCGAGCTGCAGGCCCTCATCTATAATGTGCAGCACGGTAATGCATAGATCTGGGACTTCCAGCTCCCAAAGCTCCCCTGCCTCAGATTCCCTCAGAAGCCTTCGTCTGATCCTCATGGGTGAGATGCTAGAGAGAGGCTATGTCCCCTTTCTCCATACTCTGATAGGGTCTCTCAACCTCCTTCTTCCTTCCCTTCCTCCCTCAGAGAATGGCTATGCAAGCACAGATGAGGAGGTTTCAGAGTTCTCTGAGGGGAGGTGAGTTTTCAAGCAGGGAGTCGGAGGCTGCCTCACAGCATGCACCCGGGGGTGGAGGAGGGGTTGCCATAGGGACCCAGGCTGGGCTTGGGTTTAGACTCTCTGGGACTGATATGTCTAAGTCCTACGGAGAAACAGTATAACTATCATGGTCCTAAACTTTTTGCTTCTTCTTCAGCTTTTCCCAATCATTCACTATGAAAGGCTCTACCAGCCATGATGACTTCAAGTTCAAGGTAAGCCTGGTGAAAATCAGGCTATAGGTTTAGCAGGGTCAGCCTCTCATGGCCTGATCCCTAAGATCTAACCCTCCATCCCCAATTCAGTTTTGTCCTCAGCAGGAATGGAGTGGCCAAGAGGGATCTTGCCTAGAATTGGAGGTGGTGGGAACTAACCTGGAATTTGCTATGTAGATCAGGAAGCCCATTCTTTTTTTCTTTTTTGCTAGCCTTTCAGCCTCCTGTGTACCTGTGTTTCACGCCTGTGTCATCAGGCCCAGCTCTCACTTCCCCTTTATGGTCCATCAGTTGGACAAGTTGGTCCACTCATCCTTCCTTCCCTAGGGTGAGCCCAAGCTATCTGCGCAAATGAAGGCCGTGTCTGCGGAGTGCCTGGGACCCCCACTGGACAGCTCCACCAAGAACATCACCAAGTCCCTGGCCTCCCTCGTGGAGATCAAAGAGGATGGAGTGGGCTTCTCTGTCCGGGACCCCTACTACCGGGACAAGGTCTCACGCACCGTCAGCCTGCCCACCCGGGGCAGCACTTTGTAAGGAGGGGGATCCAGGTACATGGGGTCAAGGTGGGCAGAGTTAGGTCTCAGATTCACTGGACCCTTCTTTCCTAGCCCTCGGCAGTCTCGAGGTGGTGCGGACACATCTCCTCTGACCAGGAGGAAGTCTTATGACCGGGGACAGCCCATCAGGTAAGAGCATCTTCCAGAATCTACTCTAGAGTTACTGCCAGCACAGGCCTTAGGCACATATGTGCCTGTGAGAGTCTTCTCTGTCGATCGTACACACTTCCTAATATGGCCGGGTAGCATCAATCATTCAGCTTTGCCATGAACCCTCACCTACCATGTCAGGTGTGGGCTCAAGAAAAGCCATGCCCATGAGCCCCGTGAAAGCACATATGTCTAAATCATGGGCTGGAAACTCCTGATATGCACAAACCTAGATGGCTCGCAGCAGCTTTGACTGGTGTTGTCCTAATGTGCATTAGCCGCTTTTTGTGGCCTTAAATTCTTGAAAGTTTCTACTCTTTCAAAGGCTTCCTCCTATGAAGGACACTGGGACTGTCAGAGAAGTCACATAGACATCTCCGGCTAGCCAGGGACACAAGGACCCAGCTCTGTAGAGTTTCCACATAGATGACCCTTAACGGCCCCATGGTTCTATGCTTCATCTTAAGAGGTGTGGTGGTCTTCCCAGCTACATGAGGCGTCAGGGCTCAGAGCGACCATTGCAGCCTACATTGTTTGGAGTCTGACTGGTGCAGAAGAACCTGCTCCAGACCCCGCCTTCCCTCTTCACCGAAGCAGATGCCTGTAACACTGGCTTGCACAGGGCCAGAGGAGAGGAGTTGAGCAGACACCTGTACACTTGTACCCTGATGGACTTGTCTGTGAACTCAGAACATGCTGAAGGTGTGGTCCGAGGATGAAGCTGAACTCATGGTGCTGATCCATGAGGGGAATGTAATGACAGCTTTCCAAAGAGAGGAATGAGCAGGCCATCAGGCCACTGGTCTTAGAGAAGATGGAGGGCCAGGTTCCTGTGAGGAACTGGTAGTGTTTTACATGATGTCAGCATCACTTTTTTTTTGTCTCTATTTAAAGGCATCTTAGTTACTGTATACCACTGATTGTTAGAATTGAGCTCAACCACAGCACTGCAATTCAAGCCCCAATGAAGCCTGTCTAATCTCTCCCAGCTTTCTAGTGCTTAGCAACATCAGAGAGCACTGCTGCGCTATGCTTAGGGACTGTTTGAGTAATCAAAATCACCATATAATTGGGCATGGTAGCCCACACTTATGATCTTAGCACCCAGGAAATAGAGGCAGAAAGATCATTGCAAAGTCAAAGCTGGGGTGCTCTACATTGTTAATTCCAGGCCAGCCAGGGCTACATAGTGAGATCATGTGTCAAAATGCAATAATAAACAAAAGCAGTAAGTAGGACATCACCAGGACACTCGCTTCCAGGAAGGGTGGAAACAGCCTCAGCTGGAATCACACATTGAAATTACTCAGAATTTTCACTGCGCAATCTAAGTCTGAGAATCACACAGAAAGTGACCAGGAACACTGATTGGGGGATTACAAATTTCAAAACGTAGGTGAATCTCCATGAGGATGTGATTTTTAAGAACAGCATCTAGGGGCTGAAGAGGTAGCCCTGTGGTTAAGAGCACTAGCTGTTCTTCTAGAGGACTTGGGTTCAATTCCCAGCTCTCATAGGGGCTCACAACCTCCCGTAACTTCAGTTTTAAGGTGTTTGATTCCCTCTTCTGCCCTCCACAGGCAGAACACCCACACACATTAAAATGAAATAACTACAATTTAAAAGAACAGCTTCTAGGATCTTCCCTGGGGAAGGAGCTCTGAGGTTACTACACAACAGGCTCTGTCTTCTGGGGCCTTGGGGTGGGAGAGAAGCTGGAAGCCCAGTACTAGGCGGACCTGTAGGCAAGGGTGTGGCCACTGATGACTTTCTCTGTCCTCATTTACCAGATCCGCAGACATGGGCTTTACACCGCCATCATCACCTCCTACCCGTCCCCGTAATGACCGAAACGTCTTCTCTCGTCTCACCAGCAATCAGAGCCAGGGGTCAGCACTGGACAAGTAAGAGCAGGCCTAAGGAGAACACTGAGGCTGGGAGGGAGCCTGTGGGGGCGGGTTAACTGGGGAGACTCTAGCCCGACTGCTCCAGCTCCTCTTGAGTCATGAGGCCCTGATATTCTCATCTTTTCTGCACTGACCAAGGGTCTCTTCTTTCCCCAAGCATGCTGGGATGCCAGGAAAGAAAAAGAGGGAGTTCCCTCCCTAGAGTGGGGCAGTGAGGAGTGTTGGCCCTGTGGGGCAAGCACACCAGAGAGTAAGCTAGAGTGCCCCTTTTATCTGCTTCCGTTGTCTTTGCTGTTCTCTGAAGCCCTTTCAACTACTGTCCTACCTGATTGCTTTACACAAGGCCCCATGATACTTGTCCCCAGCGGACAGGAACCTCTGAGTCATCTCCTTGTAGCAGGCTCAGCCCCACCTCTACTCATAGCTCCTGTTGTTATGCTGTAGTTGTTATGGGGCCGTTCTGTTCGCAGCCATCCCTTTATTCAGAAGGTGCTCAGCCTTGCTTTGTGGTCTGCTGTACATGCATGCGTCCATGTGAACTGTCAATCAGCCCAAGAATAGTCTGTCCTCCCTGGTTTGTATAAGAATGTGGTCCAAAGCAGAGCCCGAGGGCTTTTGCTTATAAAGTGGCCCAGAATCTGGGGCTGCTGACTCTAACTAGTTAACCCTGACAGTGGGACTTTGCCTTGGGGAGGACCCCAACACTCCTGGTTTCATCTCTGTGCTCCCCAAAGCCCACTGTGACCATCTTCAGTTCTGTAGTTCCCCCAAAGGATTCCTTTCTTTTCCTCTAAAAGCTTTCCTGCCATGAGGACCAATGATGCTGTGACCTTCAGGGGAGCCCAGGCTATAGACTGTTTGTCATTGTACCTGATACACGCTCCACCCACCCTCTCACATAACTATCCCCTTCTGGCTCAAAATGCTGCTCCCTAGATGCTAAAATCATGAGGGACAGATCCAGCAGCTCAGCCTCCTGGATGCTGTCCTTCCTTACTAAAAGAGCTGTGGGCATCCTGGGCCGCCCCATCATTATACATCTTTCCCCAGCGCCATGCAATTGGCCTGACTGGTCACTTTGTTCACTATTTCTTTATTTTGTCTTTGAAACAGGGTCTTGTCATGTATCTAGACTAGTCTCAAACCTTTCTCCTTCTGCTTTAGCCTCCCGAGTGCTGGTATTACAGGCATGTGCTATGACATCCAGCTTAACCTTGTCCTTTTTTTCTTTTCTGTTCTGTTCTTTTCTTTTCCTTGCTGTTCTTTCTTCCTTCCTTTCTTTTTTTTTCCTTTTCAAGAATTGGGCTAGGGCTCTGCCTATTCTACCCTGGTCTACAGGCTTTATCCTATCCAGTGGTCCAATCTTGGGACCCACATACAACACAGAGTTAGCTTCTAGACCTAGTCTGAGGAAGAGGAAAGAGTAGCAGGGTCTCCTTGTGGCCTTGGATGTGCTTGAGCATTATCGGGGTGATGCAGCTGGCCCCAGCTTATGCAGTGGGCCAACCAGAGAGCTTGGAACTAGCAAAGAGACCTGGAACCATCTCCCCAAGAGTGGGCTGGCCTCCCACCCCTCCTGTGGCCCTTCTCCTCACCTCTACCCTGCTAGCTGAGAGACCCCTGGTGGTCCAATACTGGGGAGTCTCCCAGCTCCCAGGCCAGTCTGTCCCTACCCTCCCCCCTCCTCCAAGGCCTTCTTCAAACCCTGCCTCTCTCTGCCTTTCCTGAAGAGAATAACCGTCCTCTGACGTCCCTACGCTGTTGCTGCTGCTGCTACCACCATTCCTGTGTGTGTTTTCCTCTCTCCCCTAATCCAGCTAATTTTCTGCCCTTCCCAGGTCTGATGACAGCGACTCCTCTTTGTCGGAGGTCCTGAGGTACACACAGAATGTCTCTCATGTTTGATTCCCCTTCTCGCTCTCTCTTCTTTTTCTCTCTGCCTCATGCTGCATCCTCCCTTCCTGCCTGTACACCTGTCCTCAGCATGCAGCCCCTCCTCTCCTAGCCCCTGCCTCTTCCTCATCTGTGTCCCTCCTGAGACCTCTTCTTGCCCAATGGTTCCTTCCTCTACTGGTGACCCCATGGCCTCAGACTATGCCATGCCTGGCTAGAACTAAGGGCTTGCGGTGGGGGAGGGTGCAGTTGCTTGTGGCTAGCCCTTTTCTCCCTCCTGCCCTGGGCAAGGTCAGGAGGGACATGGAAGCCTGGGTTGGTCTGGAGTTGAAGCAGAGCTTTGCTGAGCAAGAGGTACCATGAGGACCTTGTCAGTCTGATGGTCTTTTTTGAGTCATTAGCTATGGTGGCTGTGCTTGCAGTTCTTGTAACTTAGCTTGTGTTGGTGGGTGAGTCTTGCAAACTTCAGCTTGGAGGGGGGTGGGGGGCTCACTAAGGCAAGCAACACCCCTGCTTATACCTCTTAGCATGCAGCTTATGGGTGTGTCCTCCCCTTCAGCCCATGGGACAAGCAGAGGCTGGTCCCTCAAGCCTACTGAGCACAGATCCTCCTTGGCAAAGGAGTGAGACTTGGGACTCTGGCAGCAGAAGGCTCTTGTTTAAAGGCCTAGAGCTCCCTCTAGCTCTCTGTGCATGCTCTCTACTCGTCATCCTCTGCTGTGTGGTTAGCACCACTGATTATCCTCCTGTGCAGCAAGGCCTTGCCAACAGATGTTACCTGTAATGTGCCAGCCTCTTCAGAGTGCAGACCCCTTTCAATACATTTTCATGGTGACCTTGGCCTAACTCTGCCCAAACTGGCATCACAAGCCGGGAGCAGTCATCTTGGTAAACCCCTAGCCATTGCGCCACCGTCAGCAATAGCACGCTCCTTTGGAGAGCCTGGATGTGGTTTTAGATGTCACTTGGCTGGGTCTCATCCCAAAAGACCTTCCCAAGAATGACGAAATCATCCTTAGAACCCCAAGATGCAGATAGAGCGAAACCCTCATGCACACTCAGCTCGGCCTTATTCCTGCTGCCGGAGTGCTGTGCAGAACAAGCAGGCAGCATTTCAGGTCCAGGCAGGCTAGTTCCAGACCCCAGCTTGGCTGTGGTCCCCTGAGGTGATCTATCTCTTTGGAGTTTTTAGGGGGTTGTTTTTGGTTGATTGGTTTATGTTTGACAAAATTTTCTTATATGTGCCTTGAGCTCCTTATATAGACTAGTCTGGCCTCAAATTCACAGCAACCTTCCTGCTTGAACCTACCAAGTCCTGGGATAACAGATGTGTGCCCAGCCCCCATTTATTTCTTTGTAAATGACAGGCACAGGTCTGACTACGCTGGTCCAACTGGGGGCTCTGGGTAGGTATCCACCTGCCTCATTGCTGGAAGGTACCAACCCCAGCACACTGACTGGCAAATGAAGTATCCCTCTCTCTTTCCTTCCCCCCATTTTTGATTGCCAAAGAAGCGTGTAGACTTGGTGGGAGCTACAGAGGCCAATTCTAGCATTTGGGCCTCTGCCCTGCCCCAGTGGAGTTGGCTGCATGCTTTGTCTCTAGCTTCAAGTTAGGTAGCCTCTCCCCACCCTGTTCCTTCCAGAGTGCCTGGCATGGGCTTCTCCCACAGTGCTGAGGATGGCTCTCAGACATTGGTGGAGTTTTGCTAGCAGCACCGGAATCTCTCATTATTCATTGTCCCCTCTCAGCCCAGACCCCTCTCTTTCCTGCCTCAGTCAGCCTGGCCACGGTCTCCTTGGCTGACTGGCACATCCTCTCTCCCTCTCTTCTGGGAAGGGGCATCATCACCCCCATTGGAGGAGTAAAGGGAGCACGGACGGCCCCATTGCAGTGTGTCTCCATGGCCGAGGGCCACACCAAGCCCATCCTCTGCCTGGATGCCACCGATGAGTTGCTTTTCACAGGGTCCAAAGGTGCGTGGAGACTTGAGGGGCCAGCGGGGTTAGGCTCTCCCACCCATTCCACTTTCCTTTTCCAGAGTGGCCTGTAAAGGCAACAACATAGAGCCCCACCCCCACCCCCAAGAGCTGAGGCTTCAAGGAGAATTTGCTTACCACTCTATCTTTTGCCTTGGCTCAGGGCTCCCACCCAACACACCCCTGGCCTCATGATCCTGGAGGCTCTGCTACTTCCCCCTCCTCCAGACCTTTAGACATTTTGAGAAGCTTCTCTGAAGTCACAACATCTCAGCTCTCTAATACCACACTTCCTCCCCAGTATTACCCAGCACCCACGTCATTGCTGCAGCTGCATCCGTGCAGTTCCTCTGGTCTCCACAGAAGGAATTTACAGTCCTACAGCTAAGTCACAACAACAACAACAAAAACCTAAAGATTTGACCAGAAGAGAGAACAAGTTTGCAGCAGACGTGCACAATAGATAGGAACCTGGAGTGTATATGACACATACACATTTATATACACACGGGAGAGAGGGCGTGGCCATCAACTGAGGTGGGACTGATTGGCTCCAAGTTTTTCCATGTTTCTTTGCTACTTGGTCATTTAATAAGCAGTGGACTTGTAAGAATTTTCTTTCAGCCCAGGACACCTCAGCAATGATCAGAGCACTCACCGTTATTTAAAGCTCTGAGCCCTTCTCTGTCTCCTGAGTTTTTATGAGATTGCACATGCACGCATGCTTCTCCCTCAGGCCTGGTGTCCTGAAATGTCTCTCCTACTTCTTCCCACTCTCCTTTGGGGGAGCTTCCCAGCCCCTCAACTGACATCACCTCCTCCTCATAGTCCTTCCCTGTCTCTGGCAGACCGTAGCTGCAAGATGTGGAACCTGGTGACAGGGCAGGAGATCGCAGCTCTCAAGGGCCACCCCAACAACGTGGTCTCTATCAAATACTGCAGCCACTCGGGGCTGGTGTTCTCTGTGTCCAGCTCCTACATCAAGGTCTGGGACATCCGTGACTCGGCCAAGTGCATTCGGACACTCACGTAAGTGCGCTCCCGCCACTTGCGTGAGAAAAGTGCTCCCGCACTTAGGTGACCGCTAAGCACAGAGCAGCCTGATTAGGTAGGCACAACAGTGCTTACTAGCCCATAGAGTTGCTTTGACAAGGTGGCTTGGGGGACAGTTTCTGAACAATAGGCTGCTGAGCCTTTGGCCTACCTGGCCCCTACCTGTGCCTCTGTCCTCCAAGACCTACCATTTGAGATGAACTGTATATATCCCAATGAATTCAAAAGCCAGGCCCACCACCTGCCTCATGCATCACCCAGTGTGGTCCTTCATGTAGGGACCCAACCCTCCCGAAGTAAGGTTTTGTCCTTATAGGATACAAACCCTCCTGAAGTCAGATTTTGTCCTTATATGTGCATTATAAGCTACAAGTTGTTTGGTTTGATGGTTGAAAAACAAGCACAGAGGATATTTATTCTTATTCTTATTCGGAAACTTATTCTGCATGAGGCAGTAGTCACAGATAATGTCACACCTTTGACTGAACCTGCAGAATGTAGAACACTCAGAATGACTCCGATATACGTGGTGAGCTTGGGTGACAATGTGCCCTGCTCAGTGTGACAACGGGGAAGGCTGTACATTTTTTGGGAAGGAAAGAGGTATATGGGAAAACTCTGCCCTCAATTTTGCTGTGAGCCTAATGCTATTCTTTTGTTTGTTTGTTTGTTTGTTTGTTTGTTTTAATGAAGCCTGGAGCAGGGAGTGGGTAGTACACAAAATGAGAATGAGGAAACGGAGGCTCTGAGAAGCTAAGTGATTTCTATGTGAGCCAGGTTCAGAGCCTGTTTCTTGACTCACAGTCTATTCAAACCCACCCACGCACACCAACAGGTCATTGAAGCATGTTGGGTAGAGTGTAGCTCTCCCGTTGGCCTGGTTTTTAGGGGAAGCTGTTCTGCCAGGATAGGGGATGCATCCTGGAAGAAGGGGCTCTTTTCAGCTGGTCTGACTGAGCTTTGTTTGTTTCTTGGCCTGTGTGGATAGATTCTTCTGACCTCTGTCTTTGCTTTTTTCGCTCTGCATAGGTCCTCAGGCCAGGTGATCTCAGGAGATGCTTGCATAGCTACATCCACACGTGCCATCACCAGTGCCCAGGGGGAGCATCAGATTAACCAGATGGCCCTCAGCCCCTCAGGCACCATGCTCTATGTCGCCTCTGGCAATGCTGTTCGCATCTGGGAGCTCAACAGGTCAGTGAAATGTCTGGAGAAGAAGCCCAGGGAAGGTCCACAGGCCTCTGGGACCTAGGGTGGAGTGGCCCACCCTAGGGCGGGCAGGACCTCGACCCTGCCTCCGGTTCCCAACTCTATATGCTTGTTCTCTGTGTCTGAAAACCTTGGTCCTTGGTCTTGCTTTGAAGGGGAGAGAGAGTAGACTGTCCAGGCCTGTCTATTCCAGGTCGGATTCCCTCCAACCCACTGTCCCTGACTGGGCCTCTCCCCACCACAGGTTCCAGCCCATTGGCAAACTGACTGGCCACATTGGCCCAGTGATGTGCCTGACAGTCACCCAGACTTCCAACCAGCATGACCTCGTGGTGACTGGCTCCAAGGACCACTATGTGAAGGTACCTACAACTGCCTTGACACAGCTGGGGCCTGGCTGGGGCCACCTCTGCTCTGAGGCCTGAATGGTGCTGGTCTCACTATCCCTCCTTTTCTCCCTTTGTTACCTGGGGCACACATAGTAAGCAATGAGACTTGTGGGGATTGCTGCTGGAGAGGGCATCTCAGAGAAGACAAGAAGGTGTGTGTGGACAGTTAAGGGTGTAGAATTATTCTGTAAATGGTGAAAATTTAACAAATGCGTGAGGATTGCAGGTGGAGCCTCTGAGTGGGATGTGAAACAACCATTAAAATGATAAATAGGGGGAAAAGGCAAAGTATACAAAACCCACTCATTTGATTTGCTCCCTATGGATATAGTTGGACACTCTGTGTGGCCAGAAAGTAGGAAGAAGCAAATAAAAGGAGACAGAGGTGGTGGGACTATTATGGCAATGTTCTTCCAACAGTGTTCAAGGCCCAACCTCAACATGCCCCTCTCCGGGCTCTGCCCCTTCTCTGCAGATGTTCCAGCTGGGCGACTGTGTGATGGGCACCATTGGCCCAACCCACAACTTTGAGCCCCCTCACTATGATGGTATCGAATGCCTGGCCATCCAAGGAGACATACTGTTCAGTGGCTCCAGGGACAATGGCATCAAGAAGTGGGACCTCGAACAGCAGGAGCTCATTCAGGTTCGGGGAATGGAGGGGAGAGATGAGCCAGGGTAAGGCCCAGGTAGACCTTAGCAGAGCCCCTCCAAGACTGCCTGTGTCTACCCTCTTTGCTGCTGCCCCCATCCTCGTCTCCCTACCCTGCTCTCAACTAAGCCTTTGCTTCGGGTTTGAATGTGAAGCACTAGATTAGCCTAGCTCTTCTGAAGATTCCCCAGCAGCACAGATTCAGAAGTTTGAATGTGGGAAGTGGGCAGAAGAGCCCATCCTTTGAGTCCCCTAGCACAGTGAAGCTCAGCTTGCTCCTGGAATGACAGGCTCTGTCTGTATAATAGCTGTAGATGCTAGGAGCCAGATGGCCTCCTCCACCACCAGCAAGAGGGCTGCATGTGTTCCTGGGGTCCCCAGGGCAGGCCCTCTCCCTTCTCGGACACCTTATCATCCCTGACCCTCCTACAGCAAATCCCCAATGCTCACAAGGATTGGGTATGTGCCCTGGCCTTCGTTCCCGGCCGGCCCATGCTGCTGAGCGCCTGCCGGGCAGGCTTCATCAAGGTCTGGAATGTGGACAACTTCACACCCATTGGTGAGATCAAGGGCCACGACAGCCCCATCAACGCCATCTGCACCAACAGCAAGCATATCTTCACAGCCTCCAGGTGGGTGCTAGGTGGAGAGAGCCTCTTTGCTCCCATCCCTGTTCCTAGAGCGAGCAGGTTGACAGTGGTCTCAGGGCTGTGCAGCTGTCCCCAGAGATCCAGTTCACAGAGCAGAACCCCACAGGGCTCTCCTCTCTAAACCTACTGTTCATCTTCACTGAACACTAAGTACCCAATGTCCTGCCTGCTGCGCTAGGCAGGGGATCAGGAAGCCACTGGGACCCAGGCCAGACTGTCTCCCCAGCTATTCCAACCACTCTCTCCCCTGGGCAGGAGCTAAGGACTGCCCTGCCACTCCTGACCCTCTGCTCCTCCAGCCGCAACTCTGGCCCCCTGTGCAGGCAGTGCCAGGCCCCTGATCCCAGGGGTACTACTCAGCCGGGTTTCTTCTTCTCTCTCCTTGTTCCCACCATGTCCCTTCTCCCCACTCCCATCTCTTCCTACCTCTCCTCTCTGCCTCTCTGCCTCTCCCCCCCATAGTGACTGCCGGGTAAAGCTGTGGAATTACGTCCCTGGACTCACCCCCTGCCTTCCTCGCCGAGTCCTGGCCATAAAGGGCCGCGCCACCACCCTCCCCTGACCCTCCCCAACCCTCCCCCTTTCCTCTCTCATTCTTCCCCCTCTTGCCTTTTCCTGTCTTTCCCCACCTCGATCTGAGCTGCTTCTTCACGGTATGAGATTGTTTTACTCTTGACCTTCTTATTCTCCCTTTGCACCCTGCCTGGCCTGATAGATCGCCCCACCCGCCCCTCTTGCAAGCATGAGCAGTGGGACAGAACCCTAGGTAGCAGAGAGCAGAGGGGGAGGCGTTCAGGCCTGGACAAAACAAAAACAAGGAAAGTCCAGGACACCAGTCCTGCAGGGTCTCGAGACCATGGCCTGGGCCCTCCCTCTGCCCGGTACCCTTTCCCGTGTGGTCCCTACTGCTCCTAGGCAGTTATCTGCCTTAGCCCAGCCATATGTGAGGGGGGTGGAAAGTCTGCCCAACCTTTATTTTGGGGGCAGCCAGCTGGGCTCACATGAAGGCTGAGCGGCCTCACTCTGTCCTCCCCAGTGACCTGACGGTGAAGTTCTGGAGCATGCGGCGGCTTCCAGCAGCCCACCCTTGAAGTTAGGGCTGAGGGTGATCAGACCCTCAGACCCAGCAGCCTACACAGCATGGAGAGGAAGCTGATCAGACCAGCCAGGTGCACTGAGGACAGAGGGTGTGGTCCTTCTCTTGCTCTGCTTCCTCCAAAGTCCCCTCTGTCCCTCCCCAGCCTCCTGAGAAAGGAGAGGCTGAGGAGGGAATTATTAAGCTGTGAAGCCAAACGGCATGATTCCCCTCCCCCATCAACCAGTCCCTGCCCTCCTCCCGACTGGCCACAAGGTCTACTGCTGAGCCAGCCCTGATGCCTCTCTTCCAGGCCCTCAGCCCAGGGTGAGACTGAGGGAGAAGCAGCCCTAGCCCCACCCCCATCCATCTAACTTCCAGTGAGCTAGCCTCTTCCAGTGTCCCCACCGCTGGAGCCACTGCACCTGCCTCTGAGCCCACCAAGGTAGTTCTCAGGTAACCATGGAAACCAGACATAAGCAGCTGAGTCCTGAAGCTGACCCTAAATCCTACAGCCACCAACAACCAATTCCAATGGGGCCCAGTCATTCCCCAAGGCCCCATTCTGCTGGGGCCTCGGCGGAGCTGCTTAAACAATTCCTTTGGGAAGAAGGTCAGCAATACTGCAGTTATTTAATTTATTGATTTTTTTAAATTATTTTTATGTTTTGCTGTTGCCTCCTGGAAACTGACTTGAAGTTTCTTCCCATCTTCTTCCCTCTGCTCCTGGCGAGGGGTCTTCTCTCTGGTGTTCCTGGGGCCCCGCTCTGCTTGCTCTGCAACCGAGGGGAAGGCCCACTCCACCCTTTGCAGCTCTGGCCATTGTCCCAGTTCTGCCCACCCCAGCAGACCTTCTAGTATAGACCAGGCCTCTAGGCAGCCTGATGCCATAGTGCCTTCCTCCATCCTGGGGCCTGGCATCATGCTGGGCAGCCTTACACCAACCATGCCCACAGCCCACATGTGTCTTCTACTTCTGGGCCTTGTGCCCACAGCCCCTTAAAGGTCCACCCCGACAGCCAGGACCAGGGAACCCATGCTCCCCAGAGTCCTGTGTGGTCCAGTGGGAAGTAGCTTGGTAGACTGTCCACTAGGTAGGCTTGAGTAGTAAGACCATCAAGTTCTTTGCCTAACCCCCCAGCCAATTATGTTTCCACCCCCAAGGGAGACAGGGGGCCTCCTCAGCTTCTTTTAGTTTTCTAGAAACAGGTTTTCAAGCCTTAAAATCAGCCTGGGCCAAAGGTCCCTCCCTTTTAGGCTGGCATGAGGAGGTACCGACTCCACCCCCGCTTCTTCCCTTGGTGCTGTGGGCTTAGCTGCTGGGATGAGGTGGAATCGGTGTCTGGCGCCCCCTCTTGGAACAACTCTGAATTTATAGGACTAGGCCTTGAGGGCCCAGCTCTCTTCCTCACCCCGTCTTTCCCTGCCCTTAAACCGGTCCATACTTACTCTACTGCTTCACTATCTTGTGCTTTCTGGTCTCATTCTGGAGCCGTGAACCCCAGCTCTATTCAGAGGACGTGGTGGCTTGTGGACTTTGGAAAGCTAGCATAGCGCATCTGCACCTAGCTCATCTCCCTCTATGGTGGCTACATTGGTGCAAGCCGTCTCAGAGCTGCGTCTGAGGCTGACACTAAGACTGTCCCGCCGATTGGTGGCCCCTGCCGGACGTGGTGTTAGGTCTGGGGAAGTGGGTATTTGGGACCATGCGCCTGGAAAGCGGTCAGCTGAAACCTGGACAGTCTGTCTGCAGTGACCAGAAACCCTCCTTCCTCTGCTCATTCCAGGAGTGTTAAGAAACTTCCTTAGCACTCAGAAGCAACCACATCTTCATCTCCTCCTTCCAGTTCCCAAGTGGAAAGCCTGGACCTTACACCCTGTAAGAAAACCCAGAATCCACCTGCATGACTGTTTACAAACTACAGAAACACATGAGACTTGTATCCCGACCCTATGGGCTGGGCTGCCCCAACATGGGGTACCTGTACTGTAGAGCTGCAAGGCCAGTTCTTGCACAAAGTGTGTGGTCTTACAGCCCACGAGAGGTGCTCACCGCCATTGCCCCCTCTGCCATTCCTGATGGGCCACTACCTCATGGTGGGGCTGCTATGCTGTCCCAGCGAGTGTCATTGACTAAACTTGAAATACTTCGGAGCTCTGAGCACATCATCTCCGAGCCATTCTGAGCTGTGTTCTGGGAATGTTGGAGTCCCTGTCCACTCTTTTAAGGGTGTCCAAGGTACATAATCAGGGGCCCCCAGCTCCACTCATTGCACAAACGGCCGACATGTTGGAAGCACAAACTGGTTGGAATTTGAGCACAATAGCAGGCCTCTGGGCAGACAGTATGAGCAAACTTGGGCCGAGGCAGTCTTTCCCAGATGGCCTGAGTCTTAAATGAGACTAGGAATGCCCCTGTCCTCTGGAACTTGTCATACTACTTCTTGTGTTCATCTTGAGACTTGAGGCCCAGGCCACATCTGTATGCTGTGGGGCCCTCCCTAGATCCCCCACACCCCAGGCCTTTAAAAACACAAGTACAGCTCTACCCTACCATGCTAAGTCTGAAGAGCCTGGCCCTGGGCTTCCATCTCCTGAGCTAATGCCCACATCCATGCTTCTGAAGCTGAAGAACTTCTATCTAGATGGAAAGTGTCTACTGTCCCCAATCTCTTAGGCCTTCTCTGCACAGTCCTGGGCCAGGACCCATTCCAGTATTAACCAATTCAGTGTTTGCTCTTGTTGGAGAGACATGACTCTACAGCAGCCAGCTCCCAGAAGGCTGTGCCTGGAGCAGCCTTTAGAGACTGCCCAAGGAGAAAGAGAATGTAAAGAACAAGAGGCTGACCCAGCCCAGCCCTTGATGTGGTCAGAATGCCACCACCAACTACTTGAAAAGGGACAGCTATGGATTAGGAAGTAGCCTCCCAGCTGCAGTCTGGGAATTGCCTGTGGCTTGGGCAAAGGGCATTATAAAGCACGAAGCCACGCTGGGAAGATGCTGCCTCCCTGGGCATCCCCATGCTAACCGTTGTGGTGGCAGCGCAGGTGGGAAGCTGATGTGAAGTCAGGACACTGCATCTCTGCCCTGCCCTCTCCCAGCTCTTGGAGGCTTCCCTGGAGTCTGGCCTGGGTGCAGGCACACCCCCTTGCCTGGTATGTTTGTGTGGGCAGGACCTGCCCTGCAGGAGCAGTGAATTCCTTCCCTTCATGCGGCCCAAAGCTGGGGCATCTGTCCCTTTGTCTTTTCACACAAGAAACTTCTTACTGCATCCTTTGCTGAGCACAGTGACCAGGGCCTCCGCAGACCTTCCTGAGCCCCGCTGTTCCCCACCTAACTCCCAGTCTTCACTGCTCCTTATGAGCAAGAGCAGAATCTGCAGGGAAAGTTGTTCCTTTGACATCATCGGTCTGCCCCCGTGCCCACCTCCCTTCATCGCCAGCACCCAGCTGACCTCCCTTCGCCTCCTCCCCTCCACCTCCCTAAAGGATTTGTCAGAAAGTGGAAAGTCGGTACTACTGAGAGTCAGAAAAGACCACTGATGTCTTGGGGCCCGCCCTGCCACCAGCTCTGGAGCTGTTGCCCCTGCCTAGGTTGCAGGCTCTCGTTTGGCTTGTACGCTCTCCTGTGACGCGGTAGCACAAGGTGTGTATGTTTTGTACCTCTGCTGATGACTGTACATAGTGTATGAAAGTTATTTAAGCCTCATGCTGTACATTTCTGTTCTGGAATTGGATGTGTGCGTTCTAAGAACTTGTCATAAATAAAACCCGAATGACCATCGTCCACAGACGTGTGGCTGGCGGGCTGTGGCTGACCTGTGGCTGGTGGCTCTTTCTTAGGGGTGGGATGTTGTTTAGGGGTAGGTGTGTAAGACTGGCCTTTGTGACTGGGCCCCATGGGAGGGCAGTGGTCTGCACTGAGTTTAGGGTTTCTTGGAATCTGTTACCTTCTCCTCCCAATCCTCCATGTGGCCTGCAGGGTCCAAGGCAAGTACAGTCATTCAAGAGCAGGTACTTAGCATTGACTAGCACACACTAGCAGGTACCGCCCCATGTGTTCTTTGCTAGATCGTCCTATCCCTGGTAACAGTGATGGCTTCTTTATGAACTGAGAACCATCATGAGATAGGGGTGACTCTTCAGGACAGGGCTGGAATTCAATCAGCCGGCCCCACCTCCACCCCCATCCCCACCCCTCTGCTTTCCTTCACTAACATAGTGCATGCTTTTTCTAGGACTTGAGACTCCCTGTTGTGTGGTAAATACTAGACATATTTTGAAGACAAAAATGTAAAGGTACTGAAGAACTCATAAACTCTGCGATGGTTGTGATTTTATTAAAGATCAGTACTTCTCAGTCTTTGGAAAGCACTCCTCTACCACCCTTTTCATTTGGGGCTGGGAATGAACCCAGAGCCTCGTGCACGTCAAGCACATGGCCTAGCCCTGGTTTACCCTTCCATCCCCAACTACATTGTTTTGTTACCTATCCATCCCTCTGTACACTCTTGAGTGTCTGGCCAGTCCTCAATACCCAACCATCTCAGGTCCAAAGATGACTCTGGACCTCTCGTCATGACTGCTGGATAGCCAGGAAGCTTTTGTCACTTTGTCAAAAACAAACAAACAAACAAACAAACAAACAAACAAACAAGCGGCTTCAGAACCCATGCAAGCCCCTGCTGCTTATATTAACCCAACAAGCTAGAGTCCCATGCTGGGTGGGAAAGGGTTCTGAAACAGGCAGAAGAGCAAGTAGGTGGGACCCTTAGCCACAAATGGAAGACCACCATGCCTGGTCCTGCCCTATGTCCCCAGACACTTGGGCAAAAACAGAACCTTCTGCCTTGGAGAACGGGGTGGCTTCCTGAAGATCATTGATGGCTGGCCGGCTGAGCCCCAGCCCATGTCAGTCTCCTGCCCCACCCCTATTCCCCAAAGTTCATATTTCACACAAGATTCTAGTCCAGTCCACAGACCTCTGAAGCCTGTTGTGAACTGTGGAAAGTGGCAACTACTGCTGAGCTGCTGTAGAGATGAAGTGGGAGGTAAGGAGAGGGATGGAGGAAAGAAGGGGGTGTTTCAGCAGCTTCCTCCTTGCACTGACTCCTCCCCTCATGTTTTTCCAAATTCAGGTCAGCCTATGGAAACATCAACACCCTTGGCAAGGGACCCAGAATTAAGAGATTCTTAAATATGGGGTAGGGGGCAGGGGCTAGAGAGATGGCTCAGTAGTCAAGAACACTACTGTTCTTTCTAAAAGTTTATTTAAAGCTGGGCATGGTGGTACCCGCCTTTAATCTTAGCACTCAGGAGGCAGGTGGATCCCTAAGCTTGAGGCCAGCCTTGTCTACAGTAAGATAGCCAGGGTTACACAGAGCAACCCTGTTTAAAAATAAAGTAAATAATAAGTAAATAAATTTAAATTTTTGTTTCTGTGTGTGTGTGTGCCCTCCACATGTGTGTGGGCAGGTATCCATGTGCATGCCTGCGGAGGTCTGAGGGCTTCCTCAGTCACACCCCACCTGTTTATGTATTTGCATTTTAATTATTTTGATTTCTTGGGACACGGTCTCATTGTGTAGACCAGGCTGACCTCAGACTCACAGAACGGTGCCTGCTAAAGGAGTGTGCAGCCACAGCTGGCTTCCACCTTACTTTTGAGGCAGAGCTCCCTCAATTGAGAACGTGCTGATTCAGTCTGGCCAGGAAGCCCTCCCCCCACCCAGGGATCCTCCTGTCTCCACCTCTGCGGTGCTTGGGTTACATTAGTGCACCCCCACACTCTGCTCTTTTCTGTGGGTTCTGGAAGGGTGGACTTGGATCATCACACTCGTGAATCAGACACTAGCACTGAGCCCCTCACTGTCTAAGCTGGGTAGCACCACAAAAGATTTTTCCAAATCCCTCATTTTATACTCAAAGGGAATTGAGGCCCAGAGAGGCCAACAGAATTAGCCAAGTGGATAGTGGGACAGAAAAGGCCAGGCCCTAGAATCCATTAATACTTTTATACGTGTATCTTGGTTTGACTAAAGTGAATGGGGTGATGTGGGACACCCAGTCTTGGAGGAGGTTTTATCCCAAAAACCTATTAACTAGTTTTGTTTGATTTTATTTTTAATATAAGACATACCATTTATTCTTACTTATAGCAAGGTATATTTGCCCTTTGGGAACAAGGAAGGGGCTAGAAGGTGTTGCTGAGCCTTAGATGTTTCCATTTACTTCCATGTATAAAGTGTTCAGCTCAGAAGGCTTTCTAGTGGTAACTGGTGGCAGCTAATGATGTGCCAGGGAACAGGCTGAGAGGGAAATGTGGGAAACACCTCCTGGCTGCTGCAGAGATTAGAGCAGGGCCTTCTATGCCACCTTTGGGCTTGTTTGCAGGCAGGTGAACGTGTAAGATGATGCAAGAAAGGTGTGGGTCTAGGAAGGACCATCAAGGAAGAGGCACCTCAGGCTCCTGAAGGCTTGTGTGCAGGAGACAGCTGGTAATGCCAAAGCCTGAGCCTGCGTCACCAGGCCCTGCTTCACAGTGGATAGCGCCAGCCAAGCCAGAGCATGCTTGCTCACTGGAGAAGCTTGCATTTGTTGTAGGAAATTAGATCATTGTTCTGTAAGCTTTTCCCAGAGGCAAAGACAGGGTGGTGAGGGGAAAGGGGCTATAGGAGCCACAGGTGACCCTGTATAGACCCAGCTCACCGCAAGGACTCCGTTGCGTAGATCACAGTAAAACTGATTGCAACAAGGGCATGAGAAAGATCAGGCATGACCTAGCCCCCTTAACATGGCAGGGGCAGGATGCTTCTGGCTCTTTGGAAGAATGGTGACTATACCTATGATATCCAGTCCCCTTGGGTTCTCCCTTGGGCCACAGCCACTGTCTGGGCAGTGCCCAGGGGCAGCCACAGTGCTGCTTTTACAGAGTGCTTCTACCACAGTTAACCACACTCTCTGTGAGCTCACAAAAAAGCCCTAAGTCAAACACTTCCTGTCTCAGCTAGCCAGAGGGGACACAGTTGTCTGTCAGCAAGAACACTGCCCAGCCATTAGAAGAGTTCTAGACCAGCCTGGGCTACATAGTAAGACAGTATTTCAAATAAAATAAAGGCTGGATATGGTGAGACATAGCTATAATCCCAGAACTCAGGAGACTGAGGCAGGAGAATATGAGTTTGAGGCTAGTCTGGGCATATGGCAAGACCCTGCATAAAAACAAAATGAACAACCAACTCTGGATACCTCATATGTCCAACATGCAGTCTGTAATTTAAGTTGGTTCAAAGAAAACCACCTTGAAGTCACATGGCTGAATGGGAGTGGGCACGAAGCAGTAGAGACAGAGAAGCTGGCCAGATGATTTCTGCATACAAGGCAGCTCATAACCACAAATTGACATCCAACTACATACACACACACACACACACACACACACCCCTTGGCTTCTCTTTTTATTAGCAGAGTTTTAGGGTGCAGGCCTGGCGGCAGGGGTAGCCTGCTGTCATAATGTTGGTGACGAGCTTTCATCGTGGACCCTAGCCCCTAGCATGCTGGCTCAGTGTTATCTCCTTTGAAGCTTCTTTGAGCATAGGCAAGAGAAAAAAGTCTTGGGCTCCGGCACCACGTTCTTGGCTTCTAGGATGTAGAACGTCTGCATGGTGAGGCAGCTGACTGTGGGGTCAGGGTCTTTCTGCATACACATCAAGGCTGTAACAGATACAGGGATGGAACAGGGAACAGAAAGGTCACTGGGTTTGGGCAAGAGGGCCCAACACTCTCGGAGGAAGAACGCAAACTAGCAACTTTTACAGTATAAGCGGAGATTTCTTCTACGAGTCCACACTGGTTTTTACATTCAAGATCCCAAACTTACCCCCGGGGGTATAGAAACACCTCTGTTTCGGTCCTCCCACTTGCCCCTACCCAGCTCTGGCCTCCTCCCTCATTCTGTGTGAAGTCCTCTGACCCCCAGGAGGACTGCAGGCTGGGTCAGAGCCACACCTGGGGGAGGGAGAGTCACTGTGTCATGAATGCGATGTGAGGGATAGGTGAGAGAGAGAGGCCCAGTGTGCAGAGCACATGTCTCAGGACAGTGAGAACACAAAGGTTCCCTCACTGTAACATGAACGGTGGTGACATCCCAGCGGGAAGGGAAGGGGACACTGGCACCCCAGGGAAGAAGGTAGCTCTTTCCTAGGGAGAGTTTAAGGGGCCAGCCTGGCTGAATGAATGAATGAGTGAGTGAGCGAGTGTGTGGAGCAAAGGAGTTCTGACCAATAACCCAGACCCATGTGCCTGGGAGCTGTCCTTCCGGATGATGGGCTTTTTGAACACTCCTGCCTTCATTTCCAAGCCACCCCTCTGATACCAGTAACCCTAAAAGAGACAAGCAGCAGGCAATGGGATGACCACTCACCTGCACGTTCATCTTCAATTTTCTCTTTCTCTTCCCTGTTAAGTATCCGGATGATCTGACCTACAGGGCACACGGGCACTCAGTGGCCTCACAAGGGGCCAGTGGGCCCTAACTGTAAGTTCTCTGGTAAAAGTCACCATCCCATCCTTTTGTCTGTCCTTCCCACCCCGGGTTACCAGCTGGACTTGCTCCGTGAAGCCAAGCTGCTTCTCCAGTTGTGTGAAGGGCTCTAAGCAATCGGGCCAGGTACCAATGATCTTGCCCATGAGGTGACGGGAGGTAGTGTCCACCTGTCTTTAAACTTCCTCCCCTCGGGAGCACACACACGCCTGATGCTCCACCCGCCGGGAGCCATGCTGCCCTGGTTTCTTAGGAGTTGCCCATTCTGCTAATACACAGGCCAGGGGCTCCCTGTGGTGGGAGGGAGCAGATGGCAACGGGACCAAGGGCTCTGTAATTACCTCGGGTCCTGTCATTAACTCCTCACATGCCCAGCCCTCAATCGGTTTGAAAAACCCAACTTCAAGGAGACAGTGGCTGCGAGTTGACAGAGGGCCGTCCTACCTGAAAACCACACAGCCACCTGGCGGATGGGGCCCTGAGGGCTTTTGAAGAGAGCCACACTCTGCTTCAGGAACCAGAGCACCTTGCTCCTTTCCTGCTGCAGCTGGAAGAAGCAACATTAGATGGCACAGCTAGGCGGCACACTGCCAGTTCTCCTGCCTCTCAGACAGTCTAAGCAGGACGATAGATGGAAGTGATCCCAACGGCAAACAAAATCCTTCAGAGCCTCCTAAAATTCGCCTCCCAGTGTCCCAGCTTCTGAAACCTTATTTCTTCCACCAAGCCTTCCTAGCTTGACCAAGCCACGGTGATGATGATGTATATAAACCCCTGATATATTGAGCCCTCAATTCTGTCTAGGTTTATATGTCCCATAGTCTCAGGCATTTAAATACTTGGTCCCCAATTGATGGCACACTGTTGGGAAGGTTTAGAAGGTGTGGCCTCATCACAAGTGTATCACTGGAGGCAGTCTTTGAGAACTTAAGGACTTGTGCCATTTTTAGTTGGTTCTCTTTGCTTCATGCTTGTGGTTCAAGACATGAGCTTTTGGATTCCTGCTGCTGCCACCATGCCTTCTCTCTATCACCTTGGACTTTAACCCCCTGGAACTGTAAGCTCAAATAAACTCTCCATGGTGCCTAATCACAGCAATAGAAAAGGAACTATTACGCTAAGCATTACCATTCCTCCCCTGTGAAGATGACCTCCTCTTCTGGGAAGCTTTCTTCAAGTCCAAGCTGGGCCAAGTGCACACTGCCTTTGTACTAGAGAGCGCATTCCTCTCCCTTACCCCTTCCCAAAGTACTCCAAATCACCAATTCCTGTACCTAGCTCTCCAGGGTAGAGAGGAAGTACGGAGAGTGCAGAAAGCACCACTAGGTGGTCAGCCCAGAGCAGACACACTGATGAATAAGCTATGCATAGTTACTGCTGACACCATCTGCAGAGAGCAGACGGAGTCAGATGCTTAGGGCCAAGAGTGTGGGGGTTCAATGGCTGGCTCCCTTGCACAGTTCAGAATAGTGAGTCAGCTGCTGGCTTACCAGAGCAATGAGGATGGTGAATACGTCCTTCTTGGCGAAGACCCCTTTGAGTTTGGACCAGCCTAGGATGGTAGCTGTGTTGCAGAGGCTGAGCCTACAGACCTGGGAAGATAAGAGGCTCAGCACATGGAATCATGGGGATGACGCTGGGCAAATTTGGCCTTATTGAAGACTTGGAACCTGCAGGGACCTGGGCTTAGGAGAAAGTTAGAGTTTGTCCAAGCATCTGGCTCTACTGAAAACCTCTTTTTTTTTTTTCTATGACGAAGTCAAAGTGACAGTTCTAATGCTTTTTCCAGTAGCAATGTTGGGTCCCACAGCAGTGTGGCTCTCTACAGCATAGCCTTGGGCACCATGGCTTTCTCACCCCAAAGCAGTCTCTCTGAAAACAAATGTCTCCAAAGTCTTTGTTTGTCTTGTTTTGTTTTGTTTTGTTTTGTTTGTTTTTTTCAAGACATGTTTCTCTGTGTAGCCTTGGCTGTCCTAGACTGGCCTCCAACTCACAGCAATCCGCCTGCCTCTACTACCCTGAGTGCTGGGATTAAAGGCCACCACACCTGGCTCCCAAAACTGTTTTCTTTTTAACTTCCCTTGAGACATGCTTTTGCTATGTAGCCCAGGCTAGCCTCAAATTGGCATGTTATGCTCTTGAATACTGGGTTCACAGAAGTATTCCACCTCACCCAGGTCCTTCAATGTCTTAGTACCCCCTCTCGGTGATCCTTGCTCTACAGCAAGGTTGGCTTGGCCAGAATATCACTGACCTCATTAGAAGGGACCCATCCTTTTGTCACGTGCTCAGCAGCATCCTTGGATATAGCTAAGGGGTCTCCTGTCACAAATCAAGTCAGCAGTTTTCAACTGTTTATGTGCTTCTGGGCTCCTGGCCAGGCCTCTCTGCTCTATCCAGCATTCAACCTACAGGTAGAGCTCTCCCACCCTGGAAGCCCCATCTCAGCTCACTGGTAAGGCAAGAGCAGCAAGCAGTCTGGAGGACGACCACAAGGGAGGGCCATGACAAGTCAGCAGAGAGAGGAGCTGGTGCCACTTTCTGCTTCAGAGTTTGCGTGCCCAGCAGCCCCTGCTGGAGTTGGAAGCTAGCTGAGGCCAGCTGGGGCTGGAGGAGACTCAGCGTGACAGCTGACACTGAACCTCTCCAGCGTCAAAACTCCAGTGGGCCTCCTCAGTGTGACACCATCCTGTCACAGCCCTGTCCAAGGGCTTACCATGGTCTGCATTAACTTCCAGTGGGAACTGAATGCCAGGCTCCACAGTCAGGCTTCTCACCTCCTCCACGGCGGCATTTACATCCTTCAGGTGCGACACAAGCAGGACTAGCGAGTTGAGGACCTGGTGCTTCAAGGGGAAATCAAGGGTCTTCCTCGAGACCTTAGCAAGGATACTTGAATAGATTGTGAAGATTATCAGACGCAGCTGCTCTGACTCCTGGGTAAGAAGATACACACTTGGGAAGACACAGACATCTCTATACCTGCACTGGCGACCCAGGTCAGAAGGATCCTGAGCTCTGCTCCCACCAACCATGTTCCTGTGTGCATGCCCCCGTCTGCTTTGACTGTTCATCAGCACAGCACCCCTGTGCCATGCTCAGCTGCCCTCCTGGTTTGATTTCTATAAAGCAAGAATGCAGATGCAGCTAGTCCCCAAGAATGCTGCTGGGGTCAAGGAAAGGCCTTCTTCACTGTGTCACATCCATCTGGGGTAGTACAGCAACCTCTCGATCCCTTGGGGGCTTTACCTCCTCAAAAAAGTGTCCCAAATGGAAGGCCAGATGAGTGATAAAGGTGGAAAAGTGTTGCCAGGTCAGGTTCTTGAGGATGCGCTGCAGCGTGAGAAAGGTCTCCATCACCAGGTCACTGCTGGTGGAGTAGCAGTAGCTCAGAAAGTAGGGCTGCAGGATCCGGAGGTGCGTTATCTACAGAGTGACCGTCACTCAAAAGTGCAGTCGGGAACTTCTGATAGCACTTCCCCTCAATCCCCACCCCTCAGACGACTGGTGGGCACAGCGCTCACGCTTTTCACTCTGAAGGCAGGAATGGCCTCAAGATTGGATGATGGTCAAACTGGGGTGCCCAAAGTGTACCTGGCCAGGAGCCTTCTGTGCTCCGAGAGCAGAGGTAAGAAGACAGAGCTCTTCTGTCTGCTGCACCGTAAGTTTCCCTCCTAATGGCTTTCCTCCCTCCTGGCAATACCAATCTCCAGAGACCTGGGTGGGACCTCTGGAATCTTGGGATGGGCTGAGCCTATTCTCTCAACTGACTTACAGAACTACCTCCTCCAGGACCTTTCCTGGACAGGAAGAAGCACAAATTGCTCAAGCCCACCTGGATCCTGTGCTTGGAGGACTGGCCTCAAGAGGACCTGTATTCTGACTCCAAGAATGTGTTACACCCTATCTATAACTGGCCACACAGGCTCTCTAGGTCCACTTAGGCCTTCTGCGGGTGACACGTCCTTGGCCCCTATCCCATTTTCACCGTGTTTTTATGCTTTGTGAAGATTTCTGCGATCTGCAGCAATAGACGTCCTGTGGATAGCTCCTCACAATGAAACCAATTTGCCAGAATCCTGGTGGAAACTGCATCCACAGCACCTGCCACATCTGGACAGCGGAGCAGCTGCCAAGAGACAACCAAAAATAACAGAAAGGTTGCCAAGGGAACGACTGAATCTAGATTCTGTCTTGTTAGTAAAAGAACGTTCTTAGGACCTTGGTCAAAGTTTAAGGACAGGTTCACACCCTATCATTCATTCATGCTGCAAGTTTTCCTTATGCAACTTTGAAAAGGGATTGTGAGAAACAGAAATAAAAAATGCAGACAGTGGTCACCAACCCTAGCACCCCAGTTGGAGGGCCTTTAAAGGCATGATCATGAGCTGCCTGGAGAATATGTCAAAGAAAGAGAAATATGCTGCAGGCTGAAAGCAGCTACAAAGCATCATGAATGGGAGAAAGGAGGCAGAACCTGAAATGGACTTGAAGATAAAGGGAACTTCAAGAAGCCCAAGTCTTTTAGACATGAAGACAAACAATTCAATAGGATAACGGGCAAAAGGTGTAGAAAGGATTCCCAGAGGACAGAAGACTGTGCGTGCCTCTGTGTGTGTGAGTGGTGTTTATATGTTACCATGTAGACCTCAAGGCAAAGATGTTGTCCTGTTCTTGCCAGGCCACCAATCAGATCTATCATAATTTACTCAGTAGCTGAGCAAATTTCTGAAGTTTTCTGAACCTGAGTTTTGTCCTCTACAAAGTGAGGATTAAGCAGTCTGAATTAAAACACACAGCCCTGTCTGTTTTCAATTCTTCTGCCTGTGACTGCCTGTGGATGGAGGTAATGCTGAGCAAGGAGTTATATGAGACTGTAAAATGTGCCTGAGTGTGAACACCCATACCCACACCCATGCTCTCTTGCCTACAGATCTGGACCCACTTTTGTAGCTGGTACCTAAATCCCATTGGTTCCCCACCTTAAAGCTAGTAGGCCCAGTTGCTGAGAATGGGTCTTACCCATCTCTCCACCTTAAAGCCCTATCGCAAACATAAGCCCACTCCGGTAAAGGTAGTAGCTGAGCGCTTATGTGGGTGTGTATTCATTTCAGCTGGGCATCAGCATTTGAGGAAGCTTCTAGACTATTCGTTAGTTCCAGCTGTTTCTAGACGCCAGGTGTAAGCTAGGGAGCTTAGAGCAAATTAATGCCTGCGCCCACCCCAGATCGATTCTGAAGAACGAGGCACCCAGTAACAAGAGTAGCAATGCCTCGAAATCTGCATATTAGATATACTGAATATCACATTACGATTCACAATAGCAGCAAAACTGCAGTGATGAAGTAGCAATGAAATAACTTTATGGTTGATTCACCACAGCATGAGGACCTGCATTAAAGGGTCACAGCATTGGGAAGGTTGAGGAGATTCTAATATGCTCCCAAGGTTCAAAACGGCTGCTTCTTCACCTCTGGCCATGTATGCTTATCTCCTGTACTGTTTCTCAAAGCTAAGCTCAAAGAAACCCTGCCTGCACTAGCCAGCAGAATGCTTTTAGACCGAAGGCTCCTGTGGACCCAGGTCTCGTGAGGCCAAGCCTCTGGGCTAAGAACCCAGCCTTCTGCCTTTTGATCAGCATCCTTGGTGAATGGATTACACCATGGCCCAAGACCCACTGCCTTCCCAGCTAGACAAGCCTCTGCAGCCTCCAAGAGCATCCTTAGCCAAGACTAAGACTTGAGTTCCATCCCTTGGACCTGCATGGTGGAAGGACAGACCAACACTTGCATGTTATTCTCTAACCTCCACATGTGTGCCCACATACAAAAAAAAAAAGAGAAAGAAAGAAAGAAAGAAAGAAAGAAAGAAAGAAAGAAAGAAAGAAAGAAAGAAAGAAAGAGGCAGGAAGAAGGAAGGAAGGAAGGAAGGAAGGAAGGAAGGAAGGAAGGAAGGAAGGAAAAAAAGAAAGATGCAATAACTTTTTAAATCAGATGGCTTGAATTTTTAAAGACCGTAACTAGGGCTGAAGAGATGGCTCTGGATTAAGAGCACTGACTGCCCTTTGAGGAGACCCAGGTTTAGTTCCCAGTACCCACATGGCAGCCCACAATTGACCCTAACCCAACACCCTCACACAGATATATGTGCAATACACATGAAATAAAAATAAATTAAAAAAAAACAATACAAATTTTTTAAAAAGACAAAGAAGCTAACTTAAAGCTGTGGCCAGGCAGACAGCAAAGCCTGCCCAGACCCTGTGGCGGAAGCCTGAGGCGCCTCAGCTTTGCTGGAAAGCACTTGTGCATCAGTATCAAAAGCCACAGAAGCCACCCATGCTTTTGAAACTCACACTTCCATGTATTATAGTCAATATTTAAGGCAATAATTTAGAATATGGGAAAGATTTTGCATAGAGGTGTTTATTACAGTATTGTTTATAGTCATGTCATATTAGAAACAAGATACTCCATCAATTACAGAACACTTCTGTGTTAACTCTCATCACAATGAAATCCATGTCTTTGTAGACTAATCAAAAAGTTAATTTAAAAACAAACAGGAAATGCAATGAAAAGAGTCAGACATAGAATATTAGAGAATTATTTCAACTTTACACACACACACACACACACTCACAGCTTCATATAGGCAAAAGCATGAAAGTAGTTTCCTTTAGGCACTGTACAGATTAATGGTTTTATACACATTTCTAAATTTTCTATATATTTTCCTCTTTCACATGACTGAATTACAGAATGAATCAGATGGCTGGTCAAATATGAAAAAACTACAAGAAGAGAACATTGGCTTTGCACAAAATCAGGGCAAAGTCAAAGACTGAGGAGGCTAATGGTCGGTGACTCAGAATTCTCACCCACGTGCCCCAGCCCATTCTTGGGTGGGTAGGGGTAGACCAGGCCACTTCTCCCCCTGGAACCCTCCTGGAGGACTCCCCTGGGTACAGTTGCTTCCCAGAAAGCTGTCCCCACTGCCCTCTACCCACCCTTCTCCACTCACCTCTGCCAGGAACACCAGGGCCGTGAAGTAGTTGGCACAGTGTGGGTCCTGGAGGGTCCTAATGAGGAAGCTGAAGACAGGGCGATTGTGCCAGCAGTTCTTGATGGCCAGGGATCTGAGATAACAATAGGGTATTAGAATGAGACCCAGGCCACAGGAGAGGACCGCAGGGACTGTTCGCAACTCACCTGGCCAGCAGAGTGACTCCATTGTAGTGTCTTTCAGGGCTGACAAGCAGTTCCCAGGCCCCAAGTGTCTGAATATAAGACATGTGGTCTGTGTACCCCGAGCTGCGCATCAAGGTCTTCAAGGCCTCTACAGAAGAACTGAGGCACAGAGACACTGCTGACCATGCCCTCCTAACCCCACGTGGGACTCCCACCCATCCTATGGATTATGAACTTGGCCATGGACTATTAGCAGACCAAGTACATTTCACAGCTGAAGCGAGCTGGGGCTGTAGGCTCTCCCAGGTGGCACAGGATGCTTGACACGGCTAGGGGGACAGAATCTAGGTTGTGGCCCAGGAGTCTCGTTTTGATTTTACTTTAGAACAGAAAAGGCATCCACGAGGCAGCCACTTTTTATTTTAAATTAAGTCATTTACTTTACATCCTGATCGTAGCCTCACCTTCCTCCTCTCCTCCCAGCCCCCCACCTCCACTCCCCATCCCCCACCCTGCCTGCGTCCTCATCCCTCCACCCTCCATGCTCCCACCCCCATCCTCCCACCCCACCCCACCCCTCATCCCACTCCCCTAAGCCCCCCCCCATTCTCCCCTTCTCCTCTGAAAAGGCAGCCACTTTAAACAGTCTTCTCAACAAAGTCGAGGAAGGCACCGTGGGTGGATGTGTAAGTAACAGAGTATGGAGGGTGTGAAAGGGTCAAGTTAGTGAGGGTGCCGAGGCAGTGCTGGGCAGAGCACCGCCCCTAGCCCCTAGCACGCTGGCCCAGGGCCCTCGGTACCTCACGCTGTCCACATATTCGGATTCATTCCGCTCATCTGGGACCACAGCGCTCTCTTTGGTTACCAGGAAAGAGATTTGGAAGAGTAGTACCACGAACAGGGGGGCGAAGTAAGTCTGTACCTCCCCCTGATAACTGGGCACCAGCAGCATCTCGTGGATGGCCCTGGTGGCCTGGAGTGAAAAGGAGGACGTCATCATCTTCATTACCACTCACAGTCCCTATCACCTGGACGGGCCCACCCAATGACATCACTGAGGTTGCCAGCAAGTGGAAGCTGAGCATAAGCCAGGCTGCTTGAGCATTTGGGCAGGCCTGGGGTGTTTGCCTCACTTCTCTGCCTCCCCACCCCTCAGAAACAGAATCTGGTTCTTCTGTTCCCAGTGAGTCAATTGACTGGAAGTCCTCCTTTTAACCCAGCCTAGACATCCCACTATTAAAATACCCAAGTAAGCATGGGCCCTAAATGGTACTAGTGCACAGAGCCCAAGCTGGCCCAGCAGAAATCCCAGTGTGTTTCCTTCCCAGCCCCCAGCCCCCAGCCCTCCACCTGGCCCTCCATACAATCATCGCTGAGAGCTCTGTTTTGTGGTCAGTCTGCTGGTCATTGGGTGTGTGGGAAGCAAGCATCCTCTGCAGCAGATAATCCATGATCATTTTGTAGCCTTTCGGAAAGGAAGCCAAGATTTCCCAGGATCTGAGTATCCCACTGTAGAGGCAGAAGCCAACAGTTACAGGCAAAGCTTTCTCCACTGCTCTACAATGCTTTCTGGAAGGACCGTTAGCTTCTTAGCCCTGTCCTAGCTTCCTCCCTCTGCCCTTCCTTTCCGTGTCTCCTCTTCATTATCTTCTCACTTCTCTTAATTCTTTTCACTATTTCATTTCCTCCAGATTTTACTGTTCTCTGTTACATTGCACACAGGCAAATAGGAAAAGGGTCACTTAGTCTACGGGCCTGCAAACATCTAATACCAAACTTGATGAGTGTCCTTGAATGCATCAGGTCAAGTCCCTACCCTGTGGCCATGTCTAAGCTCTCCTTACTCCTACCAACACTGCATCTAGGGCTGAGGATACAGCACAGTTGGTTGCATGCTTGCCCAGTATGCCTGATCCCAGGTTCAATCCCCATCACTACATGAACTTGGTGTAGTGGTTCATACCCATAATACCAGTGCTTGGGAGGTAGAGGCAGGAAGATCAGGAGTTCATGGTCATCCTTAACCAAATAGGTAGTTTGAGGCAGGCTTGAGCTTCATGAGACCCTGCCCCCCAGCCAAAATAAAAGAAAGAAAGAAAAGAAAATTGACCAGACTCCTCTATCCCTCCAGCCTAGTGCAATCATGTCAGTTTGCGACCACGGCTGATGGCTTCCCTTCACAGCACCCATTCAGCCACACACCCACACTGTCCTCTGGAAGTCACACTTGCACAGGTGTCTTTGGTTTTCACCTGGCAGATCTTTCCATCTCTGGATCTGACAAAAGTACATGAAAGCAAAAGTAAATGCCTTTTGTAAAAAAAAAAAAAAAATTACTTGATAAAGTTTTAATCAACTCCATTTTAATACCTTCCAGAAGTCTCCTGGGATTTTTTTTTTTTTTGAAACATCAGAAGAGCCAGGAGTAATGGCGCAGAATCAGGTGGATCTCTGTAAGCTCAAGACCAGCCTAGTTAAGTTCTGAAAAAGGCGGAGTAGATCCTGTCAGAAAGAAAAAGAAAAAAAAAGAAAAAGAGAAGAGAAAAGAAGAAAAAAGAAAAGAAAAGAAAGAGGAAGGAAGAAAGGAAAAGAAGAAAGAGAGATCTGAAGAGAGCAACAAGTAAGTGAAAGAAAGATGGTGAGAGACAAAGAAAGAATTTCAGGCTGCTGGGATAGCTCAGCTGGTAAAAAGGGTGCTTGCCACCAAACCTAACAACCTGGTTTCAATCCCCAGGACTCACAAGGTTAAAGAAGAAAACTGAGTCCCGCAAGTTGTTCTCTGGCCTGCACACACACTCACACATGCTAAATAAGCATACATATGTCCATGCACGCATGCACACAACACACACATACTAAATAAAAACAGTTTTCAAAAAGAGGAAAACTTCACTGCTGGCATCATGATGCAATGTGTTCTAGGGACAAAGGCAAAGTAAAGACTGGCTGGCCCATGAGAGTTAGACTGACAGCTCCTTCTCAACAGTGACAGTGGAAAGAGAGACAAGAGTCAAGCCTTCTGAGACTGAACATCGACAAAATGTCAACCTACAAGTTTTGCAGAGTCTCTTGTTTAAGGAAGACTTCATGAATAAACAAATAAATAGTTTGGTGGACAGGAGAAACTAAAGGACAGATTTCAGGGGAGAAGAAAACCTACTTCACAAGGAAAGCATGGGATGCAAAGAAGGGATGGCACCCAAATAAAAATAAATCTAAACACGGTGCCAGCATGAAGATGTTGCAATGGCACCATAATAACAGCAAAAACCTGAAGACAAGTAGCCGTCAGCAGAAGAACTGGCGAGATAAGGTGTGGAATAAGGGCATAATTAAATATTAAAGAACGGTCTAAGGGGCCAATGCCCACCTCTAACAGATTGGAGAAAACCTAGGTACATAATATCAAGAATTTAACAGATCAAATAAATATAAATGAATTCATATGTAGAGGATTTACTAGCATATTTTTAAACAATCTTGTATAATAAATTTGCATGTTGTAGAAAACACATTTTATTTCAAATATCCACTGAATATACAACACTGATAACCATATCTTATTAGTCTATAAACATTAAAAATCTGAATCCAAAAAGGAGTTTAAAGATGATGTTCCCCAATCATTTTAAAAGAAGAAGTTGATCCAAATATATAACGTTTGGAGACTAAACTGTTAAAGATCTGTACAGGTAAGTAATTGGATATTTGGCGAAATTTAAAGTTGATTCTTGTTTGGGGAGTAGTTTTTCTTCTAATTAGCAGTATAAAATAGAAACTTTCTTACCATGATAAAAACATTTATCAGAAATCAATAACAAGTGATTTTAGTTTCTGTTGTTTCCCGAGAATGAGCAAGCCCAGTCTAGTCTAGCTGCCTCCTGATTCAAACTACAAGCAATCGAAAACGCAGAAAGCTTTCATCACCCCTTTCTCAGTGGTTGATAGACACACAGACAGAAACTAATGCAGATACAGAAGCCTTGAATAACGCTACCAACTATCTCAATCTCATTTACAAAACTTGAGTTCGACCAGGTTCCGAGAAATTCATAAAAGCAGGCTGGCTGGCAAAGGCAGGACGCAGAAAGCTGATCTAACGAGTAGGCCCCCCAGATTGGGTTTTTTTTTCTCTCTTCTCTTCCAACCTTGACCTACACATGACCCCAGAGCAAAACTGTGCATCAGACACAGGCAACAGAACCTGTGGGTGAGATTCTGTCTCCCTGGAGCAGTGGGAAATGGGACCCTATGAGTCAGACGCCCTGAGTAGGTCTTTGTTCGTTCTCTTTCCAAACCCTGCCTGGATGACCGAGCAGAGCCGCAGAGCGGAAGCCATCCGGCTGGAACACAGAGACATGTGACTTGGTAGGAAGAAAGGAGGAAATCTTCACTTGCTGAGGGTTTGTTCTGTTGTTCTACCTCACGTCTGTTGTGCTGGGGATCAGTCACCAGCACCTTGTACAAACCTCAGAAGGCCTCTGCCACTTGACCACAGCCTGGTACCTTCCTAGTATTGTTGTAGTGTTGTTGCTGTTTTCTGGCTTTTTTCTTTCTTTCTTTTTTTTTTTTTTTTTTTAATTATCATGCTGGTAACTGTGCTATGTATCAACAAAGAGAACTTAAAAGACCTGGGGAAATATCCTTCAGAGGCAGCAAGTGAGAGTCCCCTGGCTCTGTGTGTAAGCCAGCACAAACCCCACTTCACTCTCAGGTGCTCAGGTAGAGAATGAGGCTGAAATAATCCCAAGACAAAGAAAGCGGGAAAAGAACAGAATTCTATGTTCAGTAGAAACAATCTTTTAAGATAAAGGTAAAATATGAAACAATCTCATAAGAAAAACAACTAGGAATTTGTTACCCAAAAATGTGCTCTCAGTGAAATTTTAATAAAAAGTTTTAGGCTGAGGAGAAATTTTATTATAGGGAAGCAGAAACTTCAATAATAAGAAGCAACAGAAACAAGTAAATATTTGGACAACTGTAATGGGTAGTTTTCTCCTCTTAGTTTAAAATTATACATGATTGTTGAAAAGAAACAACAACTTTTGGCAGTTTCTTTAATATATGTAAATGTGAGATGAATGACAGCTATCACGTGAAGCAAGGAAGGCAGATGAAGCTGTTGCAAGATCTTCCTTTCCTTAACGTTACAGCTATCAACTAGTAATAGAATGCAATGTGGCCACCTAAAAATTCTTAATTGCCAAATAAATTAAAGGTAAAATCTAATCCACTTAATGTATGGGTAAAGAAAAAATGGAATACATGAAATGAAAGCATTCAAGTAATTAAAAAAGGAGACTATAGATATACAAAACAGACAGAAAACAAATCATAAAATGGTGCATAAATCCAAATAAACCACTAATTACATTAATTGTAAATGATCTAAGTATACAAATTAAAAGCTAGGTAGGGGGCTGGAGAGATGGCTCAGAGGTTAAGAGCATTGGCTGCTCTTCCAGAGGTTATGAGTTCAATTCCCAGCAACCACATGGTGGCTCACAACCATCTAAAATGAGATCTGGTGCCCTCTTCTGGGTGTGCAGGTGTACACGCAGATAGAGCATTGTATATATAATAAAAAAAAAATCTTTAAAAAATAATAATATTAAAAGCTAGGTATTTTCACATTGGGTAAACACACATGATATATCTTAGTGACAAAGCATTTGCCCAACATGCATGAGGCTCCGGGTCAATCTCCGCTACCATAAAAAAAAACAATACAAACACATACAACAACCAAAAACCCCAAAGATATAACTACAAGCTATATAAAATAAATTTATTTTACATATTGGTTATATATTAATTAAAATAAAAGAACAGAAGAGCAACTGGGTCTTAGTCCAAAAGACACAATTTGCTATATTAATAGGATAAAAACGAAAAAAAATGCACAATCCTTTTAATAGATGCAATAAAAAATTTTAATTAAATTTAGTTTTCATTTGTGATAAATACTCTCAAACTACAAATATAAAGAAACTTTCCTTTTTACCTTTAAAATACTTAAATTTTCAGTTTCAGGGGACCTGATGCCTTCTTCTGGCTTCTGTAGGCAGTGCACTTACGTGCACAAGCCTACATACAGATGCGCACCATATGTATAATTAAAAATAAAGTGTGTGCATGCGCGCACACGCTCGTGTAGGTCAAAAGAACTCAGTGGTGCTGAAAAAGTGGCTCAGCAGTTAAAAGCACTGGCTGCTCTTTCTGAATACCTAGGTTCAATTCCCTGCACCTCTATGGCAGCTCACAACCATCTGTACCTCCAGTTCCAGGGAATCCAACACCTTCTTTTGGCCTTTGCTGATACCAGGCATGCCCACGATGCTCAGACATGCATTCAGACAAAACACCTACATACAAAAGAATTAAACTGAAATTTTAAAATAAGACAACTCGTGGGAATCTGTTTTCTCTTATACCCTGCGGGTCACAGAGTTTGAACTTGGGTGGCAGTATCTTTACCTGCTGAGCCATCCACGTTATAGAGTTGTAGATACAGGAAACTCTAGAAAAGTCTAAATGATGGGGATAAAAGACAAACCAGTGGCTACCAACAACTAAATGTACAGAAAGGAGCTGGTCCCAGAAAGGCAGAACAAGGGAATTGGGGAGGGGTGGTCATGGTTGTGATAATGATTGTTGTGACTGTACATTTAGAGAATTCATATATCTATATGGCAAAAGGGTAAATTTGCTACATATTTACAGAAAATATTGCTACGTAAATATTAACTTTATTTTAAAAAGAAAATTACAGTATAGATTTACACTACATTATTAAGCCATTACAACTTTGCTTAATAAAGGGTATTAACTTAGGAAATTCTGTAATAAAACATTAAATGGAAAAATACACAAATTGGTAAATATGGTATGGGCTGAACTATATTATATATAACATATATATATATGATATACATGTGTTATATGATATATAAATAGCTTTTTAAAACACTGCTTTCAGAAGGCAGACAAATTAGAAATCATACCCAAATGATAACAAAAGTGCTATTGGCTAAAATTTAATATTTTTTGGCTTTGCTTTTTCTGAATTTTATATGCTTCAAAGATTTTCTGCAGTAAAGTAGACAGCTCTTAGAACCACTCTGCTCTGAGTAAACAAGAAAAGACTTAATAGTGAATACATTGTGAGAATAAGCTAGCAGCTGGAGAGATACATTCGGCGCATGAACTCCCACATAAAAAGTTGTGTGTGATAGCACACATCTGTAACCCCAGCACTGGGGAGGCAGAGAGCCAGGTCCCTAGAGCCTGGTGACAAGCTCACCCAGCTGAACTGGTGAGCTCCAAATTCAGTGAGCAACCCTGTCTCAAAAAAAATAAAAAATAAGTGTGGCTCTGGAAGATGCATGACATCATGTCTAGCCTCCACACACATGAACAAACCTGTACACACCTGCAGACTCACATGAACATGTCTGTGCACACACAAAGGACAACAGTGGCTTGTAAGTGTGTAGCCGACGGTGACTCACCTTTGTGACTGTTCCTTTATCTTGAACAGGGACAGGATAACCTCATCTGTGTGGGACTGGACCAGCAATTGGAAGACCTTCATTATGGCCCCCGGGACGGTTTTCTCGGTGACTCTGTCTATGCAGTAGTAAATAAACGGGATGATTTCTGGCACCTGAAAGAACAGGAGGGAGGCTTTTTCTGGACAGCAGCACTGGGTGACTGGGAGTCACTAGTTAAAGTGTGGGGCTGCAGACAATATAGTACCCAGTGTCAGGACCACGTCCTGACGTCTGACCATCTCTGTCCTGCTGCACCCTGCCCTGATCAGCTGCTCCCAGAACACTATGGACCTGTGGCTCTCAGACTTTCAGAGAGGCAGATAGAAAGCAGCCATGCAGGGCCATACCATGTCTGGAAAGCATGGCATGAAGAATAAAGGAAGAATGACGTGGGAAATGGAAGCCAGGGTCATATGATTATTGCCTCTAAAGAACACTGTGAAGGAGGAGTATTTGGAGAGTCCTTCTGTTTCCTGGCATATGGAGCAGAGGCTGCTGCATGCTGAATGGCATGGACTGGGGTCACCGTACCACTTGGGTTTGAATGTCACTTCCAAACTTACTTGCTACCTGTGTGAGATTTTCATCTTCCCTGTCTTTTGTGTCCTCAAGTAGAAAACGAGAGGAATGGTTTTATCTACCTCAGCATCTGAGTTAGCACACCTGTGTTGGCTAGAACAGTGCTTCTCAACCTGTGGCAGTTGACCCCTTTGGCAGTCAAATGGCCCTTTCAAAGGGGATCTCATATCAGATATCCTGCATAGCAGATACTTACATTATAATTTGTAACAGTAAAGAGATTACAGTTATGAAGTGGAACAAAAATAATTCTAGGATGGGTGGGTCACCACCACATGAGGGACTGGGTTAAAGGGTCACAGCCTTAGCAAGCTTGAGACGCACTGGGCTAGGATATTGCCTGTCATGCAAAAAGTTCAGAGACTTCAATCTCCAAGGCTTATGACCCCTTTGAGCCTTTCCTTATTGCTTTACATTAATTTACTCTCTCTCTCTCTCTCTCTCTCTCTCTCTCTCTGTGTGTGTGTGTGTGTGTGTGTGTGTGTGTGCGCGCGCGCGCGCACGCGTGCGCGTGCGGTGACTGTGGAGGCTAAAAGCAAAGGATACCCTGGTGCTGGAATTACAAATGAGTGTGAGCTTCTCCACACAGATGATAGAAACTGAACCCTTGGGAAGAGCAGTACACACCTGAGCCGTATCTCCAACCTGATCTTATCTATTTTTAAGTAAGCGGTTTGCAAATAAAAAGCTGTGTTTAAAGTAAAGAACCTTTCTAGGTTGATGTTTTGGTATAATCATGCTGTATTCTCAACACTGGCTTATGCCATGAATCAGTGAATGAGTTTAGTGGGAGAAAAATGATAAAAGATGGAAAGCTGCATCTTTGCAGGATGCAAAGAATGGAGCACAAGCCAGGGGCAAAGATGGAATGCCATTCTCAGGACCGTTTATAAGATGTGTCTTCGCCCTCTCTGCCTTGCATAGCTCTAACATGTATCAATCACTTTTGATTTTGCAATGACCATGTTGCTTACAGTGGAGTCTGGCTGCCACAAGACTCAGTAGAATGGCCCCAGAGGCGCCCTCAGCTCTGCCAACCCATCAGTGTGATCAAACACCTCTGGGCCAGACAGCCACAAAGGGTTGGACCCAGGAAAGCTGATAGGCCCTACTAAATAGATGTGGTGAGCGAGAGAGGCTGGATCAAGCCGTTGAAATGACAATGGCGGTATATATTCCTAAGATCTTTTAAAATGACTTAATAACCAGAGCAGCTAAAGTCAAACTGTCCTGTCTTAATTTTATTGAGAGCAGTCCTCTCTCTGACAGAGGAGTCTCGGCATTTTATTTATATTCGTGGCCATGGCTCCTAAGTGTTTATCTCCTTTAATCGCACAGCCAGCTCCTGCCTTGTGATTTTTCCAACTTTCTGATTGCATGAAAGCAATACACATTCCTTAAAACAATACTTTGAACTAACTCCCATCTTCTCTGGGGGCATGGTGTATGGGACAGGATTCTCTCGATGCTGGGTGGTGGCAGTGAGCCACAGTTTTGTTAGCCCCCAGATGAGGAGACGGCCAACACTGTAGCGTGCTGCTGAGCCAGGCTGTTTGGTGGGCAAGGTGTGCTCTCAGCTCCCAATATTTTCAGCGAGCTTGTTACTATACCCCATCACCAAGCTGCATTTGCATATTCCTAGGTTATGAGGGCACAAGTCTGAAATGCCCCCAGTGGGTTCATGCTTTGAGCTTGTTCCTCAGCTGGCAGCACTATTTTAGGAGACTGTGGAACCTTTGGGGGACCAAGCTAGCGAAGACAGATCCCTGGGAGCAGGCCTCTGAAGGTAGCGGCCCGGGCCCGGGTTTCTGCACACTGCCTGGATTGCTGGTCTGCTGCCATGGGAACAGTCTTCTCCATCACCCTGCTGCCAGGCACTGAGATTCTCTGCCATGTCTTCCTTGTCATAGTGGACTGAAACCTCCTGAAATTGTGAGCCAAACAATCCCACCCCCCTTTTTTTTTTCAAGATCACATCTTTCTGTGTAGGTTGGCTATCCTGGAACTCACTCTGTAGACTAGGCTGGCCTCAAACTCATAGAGATCTGCCTGCCTTTATCCCAGCACTTAAGCCCAAGTACTGAGATTACAGGCATGCCCCCCCCC